AGCCGAGAGACGAAAGAAGGAACAGGAACAAAGGAAGAAAGATCGGGACGAGCGAGCGAAAAAGGAAGGAGAAGAAAGAATGAAACGCGAGGACGAAGAACGTAAGAGGAAAGAAGAGAAAGCCAAGTTGAGAAAGGAAGAAGAGGATCGCAGAAGAACAGAGGACGCTGAAAGAATAAAGAGAGAACTAGAACGAGACGCGCATAGGCACGAGGAAGCCAAGCGTCGTCGCGAAGAACAAGAAAAGCAAATCAGGAAAGAAACGGAAAGAATCAGAAAAGCTGAAGAGGAACGAGTAAGGAAAGAAGACGAGACACGAGAGCGCAGGAGGAAAGAACGTGACCAGAGACGACATGAAGAGGAAGAGAAATTATTAAAGGAAGAAGAAGAAAGGACGAAAAGAGAAGAGGAGCGTAGAAGAAAGAGAAAAGAGGCTGAGCGACAGTGGAGAGAAGACGAGGAAACTATAAAAAGAAAAGAAACTGAACGTCTCGAAAGGAGAAGGGCTGAAGAACGCCTGAACAGGGAAGAAATGGAACGTTTAAGAAGAGAAGACGAGGAAAGAAGACGCAGAAGGGACGATGACAGACAAACCAGGCGGGACGAAGCAACGAAGGCGTTGAAAGAAGAGGAGGATCGATTAAGAAAACGACAGGAAGAGGAAGCCTCCAGACTCCGAAAACGAAGGCAAGAACAATTGAGAGACGACAGTTGGTCTAGAATGAGGCAAAGCGAATCAGACCAACTCTTACGAAAAATTACGGACGACACGAGGTTCGTGAGAGCCAAAGGCGTTTCTTCGGATATAGAGTTTTGGAGGGACAGGCGCGAAAAGGCTCAACGACACGATTTTGGCTTCGAATCGGCGCTTTCGAGCGCTTCGAGATCGTACAGCTGGAGAGATTCTCTGGCCTGTTTGACCAAACGACGAATCGACGATTTTCTTGATTATAAATTAAGAGACACCTCGATGGAGAGGTATTACTTCGACACAGGTTCGTACTACAGACGAAGAAGGAAGAGGGACGATAGAATTACGCGGGCGAGATCGATCAGTTTGTTGAAGTATGACGACTACTCGATTGGGGACATTGACAAAGGTACCATCGCTTATAGCTCCCTTAGACCTCCAAGATACAGCAGGCCAATGACTACATCTAGGACTGATCTTGATGCATCGAATCTTTCGCTGTACTTGCCTCCTGTTACCAGCGAGGTAAGAATATCTTTTTTTTTTTCTTTTTTTATCAGTGTCTAATTAAATATGTACGAGAAACAAAAACAAGAGATTGTAGCATCGAATATATCTCTTTTGCAGATGTTACCACGCGAGAAAGGAAAGAAACCATCATTCTGCACAAGATTAACCAACAGAACTGTAGGTGTTGGTATGAGAACGAGACTAACGTGCACCGTTCTTGGATACCCAGAACCACGTGTATATTGGACGAAAGACGGGGAGAAACTAGACATCACTTCGAGTCGATATCGAACTCGGTTTGACAATGGTATGGCTTATTTCGAACTGCATGAAGCCCTCCCCGAAGATTCCGGACTGTATACATGTGTTGCCGAGAATGTTCATGGAATTGCGACCACCGAGTCCTCATTAAAAATTTACCCCGATTTCCAACCGGCACTGTCACCCCCTACCTTCACGAGATCTATTAAAGGTAAGTACGTTAAAAATGAAAAGAAAGAGAGAATATTATGTTTCTTCGAATATAATATTAGAATAGATGACTCGAAGGGAATATGAATAGGTAATTAAAATTCGATGGTCCCTGTTATCTTCTAAAAGTCTTGAAATTGTAATTAAACTAGGAATTATATTCGTTGTGACAAAAATTCTGTACAAGTAATAACATTTTTGTTGTAAATAATAATGGCTAGAGAAATGAAATACGAATCAGATTTGTGAATGTTAATAACAAAAATGTTAATAACAATAGTTGTGTAAAATTCAAGTAATGCTATTGGAAGAAAAAAATCGTCTTCAAGTCCTTTTTTCCGTATTTTCTGACCGTCACCGGTATTTTTCTGCAGAAAAACATTTGCAGCAGATGAAAAAATACATTCGAGCATGCCTGAGTGATGTAACCTTCAGATAACCTTGAACACCAAAAAAGTATTCTCATATCATTTTAAAAAAGCTGGGACGTTCTGTATATAATTTTCTATTCTTTTTCAGATTTTTATAAAATTTTTTTATCATACGTTTTCAGACACTTATCGATATTCGGACAACGAGTTGCTCTTGGAGTGTCGAGTGCGTGGCAATCCTACTCCACTTATCTCCTGGCTGAAGGATGGTTGCATTCTCCAGGGCGACCGCTACAGGCAAAGTTACTTGGACGATGGCATCTATCGACTGAAAATTGCTGCACCAAGTTTGTCGGACAGTGGTCGTTATACGTGTAGAGCTATGAATGATCTACGTACCGAAGAAATATCGCATGTGGTTCAGTTCGATGGTAAACTTCCTATATTCCGTAACATATTTCTATTATTCTTCCTGCTATAGTCCATAGGACATTTATTATTTTCTATTTTAACGTATGAGTAGCAAAATTAACCAAATCTAAAAGATTTGTTGTTACTCGAATAGATCTATGTTCCATTTTTAATTTGCTGTTAACAAAAGCGCAAAAGTAATAATAATTAAATTATAATGCAACTTTTAATGTAAGAAATGCAAAATGAGCAATTTCTGATCACCTAATTTAAGATATCAAATTTTACGTATAAATTTCAAAATAGAGAATAATTATTTAGTAATTTTTTATTTTTATTTTAAGGACCAAGATATATTTATTTTTATTTTAACTTATGATATTGATTTTTAAGAACGAACTCGACGAGGTGCTGCGGCCAAACGAGAGAAAACTTTCGACGACTACTTCAGCGCTGAAACGTTCAAGAGGCCACGATTCTCCAATTACTTGTCGGATTATAGTGTTCCCACGGGCGGGACAATTGCCTTACAAGTTGAAGTGAAAGGTATTTAACAATATCATCCACAATAATGTATCAAATAATTTCTTAAGATTACTACGTAGGAAACGCAAAAACTTTTCCCATTTAACACGATAGTACAACAATGATTTCAAAAGTTTAAAAACAATCGGAATCGGTGATTGTTACAGGTATGCCCGCGCCGGAAGTGAGATGGTTCCGTGGCGAAAGAAAGGAACCGGTCAGTGTTCCGAAAGCAAAAACGTTCGCTGAATCCGGTGTTCATACACTGATCCTGCCAGAGGTTACCGAATCGGAAAGGGGCATGTACATTTGTCGAGCAATTAACGCGTACGGACATGTGGACAGTATGGCCACGGTGGACGTGATATCGCCGAGTGCGATCGACGGCGGGAAACCGGCCATGTTCGTTTCGAGACCCGTCGACAAATCGATCACCGTCACCTCTGGCGAGGATGTCAGCGTGTCATTTAGATGTTCTGGAAATCCGAAACCACGTGGTAAGATGAAGAAGAAGATGAAATCAATTAAAAAATTAAGGGATCATGGTATAAAATTGCCAAATTTATGATTCTTCCACCACCGAAAATATTAACCTTTAAATTCATAGTGTTGCCATTCGGCAATATACCTATATTTCGTAATGTACTAATAATACGTGTATAGAATAATGTCTAATTTATATTTTATCTGTCGGAACAACCGTAAATTTGGCCATTTTTACCATGACTACTTTACCATTACTATTTGTACCACTTTTCCTCTACATGGCTCTTGTATTTCATTCTTCAGTGACCTGGATGAAAGGACTAAGAGACATCACCGACGGTCCTCGATCTTACAAAGAAGCCATCGATGATTACGTCAGACTGACCTTGAAAAGAGTCGTACCCTCGGACGAAGGTACTTATTGCATATTGGTCAAGAACAGACATGGCTGCGATAGAAGTTTCTTCTCGATTAAGGCAAGTAGACAATCTGAAATATTAAATTTCGTCATCGGGGGTATGGTTTTCAGACGTTTATTAATTTCACAGGTGAAACAACGCGCCAGGTCACTGACGCCCGACTGGAGTACGCTCAGCAGCCGCACCGATACCGGAAGTCTTCTTTGCCTGTCGACTGAGAGTCGTGAGGATGATATGTCCTACGTGAAGAGTAAGTGGTTTTTCTTCGTTTATAATTCTAATAATTTTTTATAATAGTATGTGGGTACAGCTGATTAATACTGCAAGATTTTTCTAAAATGTTCCAATTTGGGCTTAGAATTGATAACCCTGTGTTCTGACCAAAGTGCACTTCAAGTGTTGACCATTATTGGATTAAGTTAACACGTGTAATCAAATGATTATAATTAGAAGACACAGCCCAACGACGGTGACTCTAGTTTTATCGTACACCTTGGTTGATGTATTAGTGGACGAAGTCCAAATAAACACGGGACTAAACCGATGCTTGAAATGACGTCAATATTTCGACTGATTCTACGTACCACTCGTGGCTCCTCAAACATCCGGAGACAGAGCATTGTTTAAATAAAAAGAATTGATTTATCGTTTTTAGGAAAGTGTTAGACAACTTCCTGGTGCTATTTTTAATGGAGTTTTAAAGAAACGGGGAAGACCTATCTGTAAGAAATATGATTTTTAATAGTCTTGTATTATTAAATTTTCACTAGTTTTTTAAATTTCCTGCGAAATTATTCATACAGTACCAGACGAAACTATTTAACAACTTGAGCATAATAATTCTTTGAAAATTAATTAACGAAGAGTATGGATTTCCTTAAATGTCATTTTCCTAAATATTAATAATCTGAAGAAAGTAATACAGGAAATGCGAAAAAAATTGATTAAACGTTGTTATAATTTTGTCCGATACTGTACTTTTTAGCATTAGTAGACAAAATGTATACTTCTTATTAATAGTAATGCCTACAAATTATTTGTGCATATAGGAATCGAAACGTAAGACAATCCGTGTATTTAAACATTTTTAAGATTAGTATGAATTCAAATGTGTTTCAAAAATATGACAGATTTTATCGAAGAAAATGACACACGTATGTACGTACTCCCAGTTCACGTACCTACTGTTGAATTTGAATCTGAAATAGTGCCAAGTGTGACGATTCCTTGACCAGACCACCACACGCTTTAAAATACAACTCAGTACAGTGCACCACGCATAAAGATCGAAACAAACATACTCTATTACAAGTAAACACAGACAAAAAAAAAAGAATTTCATGGCATGATTAAATAGGTACATTGAACGCGAGTATGCGAATCACAGATGTTGGAAGGACATCGTGATTCTCGAATTAGACTGAAGTGAATTAATTTCACACAAATATCTCAACATTTGAACTTGAATTACTCTAAAAAAGCACTTCAGTAATCCCAGATTTGGGTTGAAATTAAATACAATAGAAAATGAAAAATAGCATTTTTAACGAATTATTATTTTTTCTTAAGTTGAAGGGTAAATACATTTTGTATTAATATACAGCAAATTGTTTCAGATTAATTTTCTATTTAAATATAAAATGTAATGTGATATTGATGATGAGTACATTTACATGAAAATAAAACTAGTCTACCACTGGTGCACAAAATTATTTAGACAAATTAACACGCAATGGATGGAAATTTAATTTCGATCAAATAAAACGATTTATTACTCATGTGTTCAGGGTACATTACGATTTTCATTTAAATTCGTATTTTCATGGACCGATTTACAAAAAAAGAAATTAAGTAAAATTCTCACAATTTATTTATTAGGGACTTGAGTCTAACGAGAATAATATAAAAATTATTTTAAACTTCAATAAAGTCTGTTATTAACCTGTGTTTTAGATATTGGTGAATATGTATTAAGTGTCCCACTGATACACATTCAACATCAAAGTCTAATGGCTTTCTTAATACCAAGAAACAGTCGAAAATAAACACCGGAAATGACTGGAGCAAATGGCTCGTTCGAAGTAGGTCGTCGATAAATAAACATAGTACATATAACTGAATTCCTAATGCTCGAATACCCTACGACAATAATTCAAACTGATCAGGAATTGGGGTCTGATCAGGAACTGGGTCTGTGACGGTAGGTGACACGATTCCACAAGGTGGTTCCTCCTAACGATAGACAAACCTGAAACGACACCACCTACATTCGCCGGTGGAAACACCTCCCGTCCGGTTTATTTTCGTTTGCCTTGCTTATTCGCCTCCCTCCAACATCCCCCTCTGTGTCCACAAATTCGAAATTCAGTCGGCGTCGGGACGCGAGTCATTTCGCGTGCCCTACTTTTTTCGAGCCTTGGGCAAGTCGAAAAAACACCTTGACATTTTCGGTTTATCGCGCCGAGGGAACGGTCCCGAACGTAAGAATTTCACGCGTTTCCGCCTGTTTTTCGCTGTCTCGAACGAGTACATTGCAGCGCCTCCGAGGTGCTTCGATGAAGAAAATTTCGGAATTTTCTTACGAAAAATGATATTTCGTCGAATATGAAGCCCCACGATCATGGAATCGCGCAAGAGGATAATCGTTTGAGGATTTCCCGTCTAAGACACTCGTGGGCTGGCGATAATTGTCTGATTGTCGATTTTCTGGAGTATTTGTATGGACACAGAGGTCAGCAAACACTGTGATTTTGAATTATTGGATTGTGTGACGTTGAATCAGTTTAATATGTGCATCGTGGTATGACAAGTGGGTGGTTGAAAAATTCGTAACAGTTTTGAAAATATCATAACTCGTAAATTGAATAGGTGTTAGGGTAAATGTCCAAATTATTTAGGCCTAATTCAATTATTTTGGGAATAGGCCTTTCATGAAAAAATCTGCGAAGTTTCTGAAAATATACGTACTGGAAGGTTAACAAAATCTGCACAGAACATACACAAAAAGTGACAGAAATGTTTCACAAGTTATATACATTGAAATATGTCAATTAATACTACTACAGTCCCTAAATATTTATTCTTTAGAAGAATAAATAAAAGTTGTTCAATTTATCTAGCCAATATTGAATGTCATGCTTTCACCGATGTGATCTAAATCACTTTAAATATTCACAGTGTATTAGAAATATATCTTTATGACTCTACTCTATTATTTTTAAAAAGTTCGGTTAATTGAATCTAGCGATAAGCGTGCAATATCAATTACAATAAAACGGTATAAACTTTATGTTTGTTGTCCGTAGGAGTTTGTTTTATAATAGATAAAGGAATTTTCATTGTTTTATAGATCTTCCTGGACCAATTAGTAGCGAGCCAGTCGTGGTCGATGGAGGAAAAAATTGGTTGTCCCTAAGTTGGGGCAAAGCCGAACAGAGAGGGCCTGCCCCTGTCATCGCCTACAGGGTTGACGGTTGGATGCTTGGTAGTGACGGTGGTGCACGATGGGTCGAGGTATAAATATTATTTTAAAGAAATAAATCCAGAAAGTAAAATACAATTTACGAAAGTCGAACTTCAAAATTAACGAATGATTTCGAACATAGTTAATATGTCTGTCTACTGCTACTACTACCAATACTAAACGTTTATGGTAATATAATACTATTTATTTTCCATCGATCTTAAAATATTCTCATATTGCATTTATATCAAATTGTTGCGGATACTTAATAATGTTAATAAACATTAATGCAAGTGTAAGTAATTGGTATAAGGCATGTAATCAAGCTAAGGGATATTATAAATGTGCATTTACCATACGATTTCTCGATAATAAAATGTGGTATAAAAATATATAGAAGAAATGCATTTTACCAGAAATAAAATAAGGGACACGTACAAGTGAAAGGTCAAGAAACAAACTTTTAGAATAAAAAATAATTGCGCATGATACAGGTTCCAAGAATATACGAGTAATAAACATATCGTCGCGCAAGATGTCACATAAATGTAATAGATACAAAGCATATACAATGTATGCAAAATTTATGCTCGATGACTGATGGACGTAAACTATTGTATAACACTTGGCAGGCGTGTCTCGTATTTTAAAACTATATGAACACCCAGTTCTACTAATACCTACTAATCGTCAGTAATCTTTTGCATAACTGTCAAATTTTAAGGGAATTAAGTAAGTAACATATATTTCTAACAAATTTACTTTTTAACAACGAAATTAATGTAGTAATAGAATAATTTATTCGTACACTTTAGTTTCTTCTGCCTTTCTGTATCATTCTACAGAAATTAAGATTTTTAATATCTAAAATTTATAAGATAAGAAATAAAAGATAATATTTCCAATATACATATAGAAGATCAGATTTAGAAGACAATATTTCCAATTACCATAATATCTTCTTAACCTCTCCAAATTAATGTAATTAGTCCAACTTTGTTACAAATAGTTGGGTATGACACCAATCAACGCCTTCGACGCGTTCAACTTGAAGCCCGGTGGCGAGTACAAGTTCCAGGTGACGCCACGGAATCGATACGGTTGGGGTGAGTCCGTCACAATGACGAATTCCGTCAAGGTCAGCGAGACCGTCGATCTTCCGGAGTTCACGAAAATCTTGCCAGGTCAGCTCAAGGTCCTCGAGGGAACCACAGTTAAATTGGAATGCGAGGCAAGTGCACTATTATTAGATTTGTATTCCTACTTTCGTTCCGCTACATTTACTATTAATACACTACGAACGTTTATGCAAACTTACATTTTTATAGATTAATTTAGAGCGGCCAGTATTAGATAGACACTAACACTAGCGGCCAAAAGTACGAGACCAAGTTTGATAATTAAAGAAAGGGAAAAATATTATTCTATAAAGATTTGATAAAAGTAATGTGCTAAAAATAATTGGAAATGATTTGCATATGCATTGATTACTTTATTTAGCTTTTATTATATCCTAACAGAATAATGAGTTACTCTTCCATCGATCATTAAACTGTGGTCCCATACTTTTGATCAGTAATGTATTTCCTTTATTAGAAGTCTACTAAAATTCATAAGAGTTCTATTCTATTTTCCAAATTAATTTCATGAAATATAAATATAATCACTTTTAAGGTGTGAAATGTGCAAATTTTGTGACACATATGAAAAAGTACCCTATACTTTCTATATAAACAGAATATAAAGAAATAGAAGAACATAAAATTTAGAAATTGTGTGCTACTAATACTTTCCAGATTCGCAGCGATTCGAAAATCGATATAAAATGGTACTACGAGTCAACCGAAATAGATCCCGACAATCATCCCAGGTGTTCGATCTCGCGTAACGGATCGAAGTGTTCGCTCACGATCGAGAAGCTTCAGGAGATTGATTCCGGCAGATACGTTTGCGAAGCGGGCAACTTGGTTGGCAAAGTCTCGTCGTTTGCCAGAGTGCTCGTCGTCAATGATCCGAAGATCATTGAAGCCGATGCTAAACTGAAATCAAGGTACGAATAATCGATACGACGATCGATGATTTCCAGGATTCTATAAATACTCTATTCGCAACGGTTTGATTTCTTTTAAGAGACACTTCAATTTTGAATTTTCGAACGATGAAGACTTTAACAAATTGACATTCGATCACGAGAAATCTTGTTTTCATAGGAAATGCCTTCGCGGTGTTTCTTTTTATATTCGAATATTATTTTAATTTAATTTTCTCGTACATTCGGTAAATTTTGGTGGACAAATGAGTGCAGCAAATTTTAACGAAACTTCATGGGTTGCCAATGTGTTAATATAAAAGTGATTGTTCAGTGTGAATATTATCTTTTCGTTGGGAATGGTAGGGGGATCTATAAATTGTGAATGATTTTTTTCATGTGAATATTTAGTGAGTTGGGAGACGACTTGGAAGACAGACCGCCACAATTTTCCATGAGAGTTCGAGACAGAAGAGTTCAGGCGTCGTATCCTGTCAGGTTGACATGTCAAGTGACAGGACACCCTGCTCCAGAAGTCAGGTGGTTCAAGAATGGCACAGAGATCCGTCAAGATGGTAAAAGAACTTTGAATTCTGTATTAAAGACATTACCACATTAATAATAACACATAACTAGCATGAAACTTTATTAAAACTTTTACCTTATTGCATTTTCTAAGTGAACATATGCTATGAATGCATAGACATCTACAGTCTGCTAATAATAAATAATTTATCAATGGATTTCAGTAGTCTTACAAAGTACTCAGTACTAGATTATCCGTTGATCACATGAATGTCACATATGAAGAAAAAAAATTTGGAATCACACGACTTTCATAAAAAAAAACAATTGAATTGGTTGTCGTTGATATTGACGAGTATATTTCTACTTGAAGATCGTCACGTAGTCTGGAACAACGATTCGAACTTCCACACGTTGGAGATCATTCAATCCACCCTGGAGGATTCAGGCTGTTACATGGCGACAGCAAGGAATGCTAATGGATCTGTGTCCTGCCGTTGTGTCCTCGTGGTGGACAAGGGAATTCGTGCTTACATAGCACCGGAATTCCTGTGCGGCCTCGATGCCGCGTACACAGTGAAATCGGGTGGCGATCTACGAATGACGGCTCAAATAGAGGCGTATCCCAGCGTCGGTATCGTATGGTAATATATACTTAATAAAAAGAACATAGCAAAGTCATTCATTTGATTAGATCGTTTTGAAGATACAAATTTTGCAAACACATATTTTAATCTGCATTTTAGAACTTTCTTCTGCGTGTAAAAATCTCTTTTTCGGCCTCGTATAATTTATCAGTAAAATTACGAAATCTCCACAGAAAACATCCGAACGTAAAAACTTGAATAGAATGAAAAAGAATTGAACGGAGTTACATGGATTACTATACGATATTCCTATAAAATTTAGAAAAAAGTCGTAGTGGAGAAATGTATAATGCAGGGTTAAACGAGCTTCACACTAAGACATTTTTCTCTTCTCGCCTAGAACAAATCTACAGCCTGGCTTAGTTATTAAAATATTTAGTTTTCAAATCGTCAGGTGAATAACTGATAGAATTATATCAATTGTTTGCTTAGGCACCGTGACGGAATCCGACTTCGACCCAGCAGAAGAGCAGTAATGACCCTGAACCATGATGGTACCGTTGAACTGTCGTTGGGTAAGGTGACTGCAAGGGATGCTGGTGTTTACATTTGCACCGCCACCAATGAAGTAGGTCGAACCGAAACTTCTACGAAAGTGTCCATTATTGGCGCTGAAACTCAGGACGACGAGATGTCGATCGAAGGAGCGCCCACCATCACAGTCGCAACGCCTGATATTCCGTAAGTTTATTTAATTATTTATTGGAATATTAATAATCATTGGAAAAAGAAATTAATGGACTAGCATTTGTAATAAATAAAAGGAAGGGTAAACACTGACTACTATCACTGAAGTAATTTACAGAGAGAGATCTAGCAATCTAGGTAGACAAAACAGTATTAAATCTGTAAAACATAAATTCTTCGCACTGAAAATCAAAACATAAATCGCAGTCGATGTGAAATAAATTATAAGAATCCGTGGTAAACTCTTTTTTAAGTGCCGTAATTAAATACGTATAATAAAATGACCAAATGACGCGACCATACTTAAAATGAGACATAAAAAAAACTAAGATCAATAAAAGTACATTTAATAATATGTCAATTTGATTAATCGCCTTAATAACTTCATCTGATTGTGTTCGCAGGTATTCGAAGGAGCCTCTTTTTATCACAAAACCTTTGTCCACCGAAGCGGTCGAAGGCGACACTGTCATCATATTGTGCGAGGTGGTCGGTGATCCCAAACCGGAAGTAATGTGGCTCCGCGACTTTCTCAAGGTAACGGATCTTTTTCTTTCGCTCTATTATCGACTTGTATTTGCTATACTATGTTAGAACTGATGCAGCTTTTATTGATAATATACTATTATCGAGATCCTCTAAAAACCTGCAAAGTTTTACAAAAATCACAATTTCAGGGTTACCTAACTTTCTTCATGAGTGTCAAACAATTCGGTACACTAAACATGCTTAAAATCCACCATCTAGCCATACGATTGTTTCACACGGCATCCACTTATGTTTCCAAACCATATGATCGAGTTTTAATCGTCAGAAATTATAATTGATACAAAATAAATACCCCAGAATTTCGCAATACAATAAATCTTCGATGAGTGTTCGAAGGCTTCTCGGCACTAAGCATTAAATATTTCATAAATGAATGTCCATGTGCGACTGAAACAAATATCATTAGCTTCAAAATTCTAAGTTCTATCACTATATGTTCAACCTTATTGAAAAGCCAGTATACCCGGGGACTTCTTCTTGTCAATACCGAGGAGTCTTCGAACAGTTATCAAGGATTTACTGTGCCCCACGTGTGGCGTCATGAAACCGGCGGCGGCGCCGGCCGATCAAATCGGCACGACGTGTTCACAGTTCCACCAGCACGTTCCGAGTTCCCGGTGACAATTTGTCATCGTTACAGCGGCGACTCGCGTGACGAAATGGGACGAGCGCCGAAAGAAAAGCCGCGACACGCCGTAAACGAAGCCTCCGGTCGAGTCGACCTAGCGGGTGGCTGATCGCGTACGGAACGCCAGCAAAAAGAAAGGAAATATTGCGCAACCGGTGAAATGACGTGTCCCTAATGCCGTCTTGATCCATGATGTGGGTCAAGGTGATTGCGAAAAAGAAATGACAACGTAACATACCGCATTATGCCCGTAAATGGGCGAACCATTATATGCGTCGGGTGGAGGGGGGAGGCATTGATATTGGACGGCTCTTTAAAAGGTAACAGTATGTTACATACGTGAGGTTAGACACCCGGAGCCAAGAGAAAGAGAAAAATTTATTTCGCAATCGGTGGATAGGCCAATCGATAATGGCGAGATTTGTACGGGCGGAAATATCACCCTAGTAGCATTAATGGTTGGCCAACGGTATTCAACAGTTGGAAGTTAGTTGGGATATAGTTAGTGTTTTTGCCTACGAATTCCCAAAAAAAAGGGCCTTCGATGAAAAAGTTATGACAATTTGCCAATATAAAAACAAATGATTATCCAATGTTTGGCCTACAATTATTATAGTTGGTTAATTAACAAGAAATTTACAATGATAATACAACATTAGTCAACCCACAGTTTTCGAACATTTAAATATAGTCTGGAAGATGTCAGAAACGTTGCCAGAACCAAAAACTTGTTATTATATTTCAAATTGATTTTTGTTTTGTTTTACAGTTTTCGAACATTTAAATATAGTCTGTAAGACGTCAGAAACGTTGCCAGAACCAAAAACTTGTTATTATATTTCAAATTGATTTTTGTTTTGTTTTCTGTTTTATGAATATACTCGTAATTTGTTACTGTCGCGCAACATATTTGACATTTGAAATTTTGTGAAATATTTTGTTTTGTAATTTAAAATACTGTGGTAACGAATCGGTAAATTGATTAGTTTCGAGCACGAAATGAATGAAAATAAACAGTAAGAAAAAATCAAAATTGCGAGTACGGTTGTACTCGCTTATTAATATAAAATCGAAAAGGAAACCGGAAATGATCGATGACCGGAAAAACGTGCGTATATGGACGTCCGCGTCGACCGAGGATATCTGCATTATCGAAAAGAGTGTACATACAGAAGAAGGCTCCCCACTTTTCCTGACGAACTCGGCTTTCTTCGTCGATGGATCGGTACTGCAAAAGTACTGGCGGGCAAAACAGTCGTCGCGTGTCTTTGGCGAACGAACAGGCCGCTACATCGTCCTCCAACCGATCCCTCGCGATCCTCGGTGACATGGACATTTCCTATTCCGGTTATTGCGAATACACTCACGAAAAGTTCTGATTCAAGCAGTGATAATCGTTGTTTCTTGAACCCGTTCACCACCGTATCACGACATTGGATATATTCGATGTGGGATTCGGAAATGTAAGCAAAAGTATTATTATTACATCTACCGATTTTGTTTTTATATTGGTCTCAAACGACGGATGATTGTGCAGAATATTGTTTTCGCAGAGGTTTACATACACGTGTTTGAAACACAAATTTACTTGTTGTGTTGCAAATTTTATAATTTAAAAATAAATAGAGAATTTTATAATAAAACTCGTTTTCCAATGCGCTTCCTTTCGGCCATCTTAAATTGGTTAAACATGGCAACGAGAAGCTTTAACTCATTGGCAAGAGTGTATCGAAGTAGATGGATCTTATTTTAAGTATGAATATATGTTTTGAAGTAAGTCATAATCGTTCAAACTCTACAATTTGAAAACGAAATTTATAATGCAACAATTTGTATTGATATTATTTGATTTTTATTTAATAATCGTTTACAATTCTTCTTGTGGTTGAATTTTCCATCTATGTCGATTAATAACTTTTTATACAAATTAAGTTTCACTCTCAAAAATTCCAATCCTCATTTTTTAATATTCTAAAAATGACAATAGGCCTCTTTTACATTATTATTTTTATCCTTGTGTGTATATACAGGTTTCGAATATTGTATAAAAAATTTTTTATTACCATTGTGTTTGTTTAATAATCTAATAGTGGAATTAAATTTTCAGGAAAATCTTAATTTTTTTTAAATGAATTTTATATTTTAATAGCATACACCCTGCTGTGCATCCAATAGGCGAATTTCAGTAATTTATAGTACTACTCAGCCACTTAGAAAACATAAGTATATACAAAAAATCACATTAAACACTAAGCTCCGCCACCACCTCGAACGTGTCATACGATAAGAATGGCTTACCATATAAAGTTTTGTTTTGTATTCATCCATTCTATTATCTCGAAACTTATCTTTCATATGAACACCTTCGTCGAACTCATAGTTATTTATATTACATTAACATTTATTATGATTGTTTAAGACATTTCATATGAGTTAATTTTTTAATTACTTCTAGTTATTTCTACATTTTCCTCAAGAAGTGAACTGTATAGTGAAATGCCCGTGAAGGAGTAATAACACTAAAGTAACAATTATTTAAAATTTGAAAAAAAAAAAATGAGGATATAGCCCTATTTTCCCCCTTTATGGAAATACGTTCAAAAATATGGACACTTTAAAATTGGCCGTATGAAAATTAATTAAAGATAACGCTCCATTTACAAAATCTATGTACAATAATATTTTTCTCTTTCTTTAATTATCAGTTCTGGCCCATACTTTTGGCCAGTATTTCTCTTCTGAAGACGCACCAGAATCGAAACCCAATTACCCCGATTCTTTTCGACGCGTGAAAATCGCTCGAGCCGCATTATTGACATATCATCGATCTTCCAATCGGGATCTAAGATCTGCAAAGCCGTGATCTCCGCGATATGAGTCACCCGGCGGTTTTCAACGGCGCTCGTTAGGACATTCATCGAAGCGGCCGATACTTAAGCGCTAATGTCAGCGCCTGTTCGCCGTAAAGCTGACCGAGTCCGAGTTTCCTCTCTCGTCCGAGCCCCCGTCCGATCGGTGGAGACGCCGTGTTGCGAACGTGTCGCTTGTCGAACCCGCCAAATACGTCCAAGTTTGTTTTCACGCAGCTGCGGCTGCTAAATGAGGAAAAAATCGCGTCGACTTCGCGCGCAGTGACTCCCGTTGCATGAAAACTCAAGATCATTTGGACGTTGATACTTTCATTCTGCTTCCTATCAATTAAACGAGCCCGTTCATTAGCTAAAATTTAATTAGAAAAATTTATTTTTAATGTCGAACGTTCAGCTCCGTGTAAGTGATTTGGCAAGAAAATTTAAAGAAATTTCAAATGTCCCTCATGACGTTCCATTTAAATATATAGGGAAAAGTAATTAACCACTTGATGGCAAACAAATTGGAAGAGTAACATAAGAGAACTGAAACAGGGGTAATTGTTCGCATGAAAATAAATTAAAATTAATAAATGTTTGTTTCAAGAAGTTCTGTTTTGGGAAAATAACTTTGAGAATTAATATTTTGTGTATACAAAAGTATTGACTATTGTATTTATTTTGTTCTGTCGATGGGAGAACTCAATTTCTCACCTGAAAGAACTGTTGAAGGTAATAGGAACTCCACAATAAATTAAATTAATTAATTTGTCATACTAATCAGGTTTACTTTTGACTTCTAAAAAAATCGTATAAATATACGATTCTCCGAGAATCGATCAGAAATCGTCGCGTGGTGGTGAAATCATTATTTGGTCCAAAGAAATATAATAAATACTATTTTAAAAAAAGCATGTCGCTGGAAATCTTTCTGTTCACGGCGTCTGTAAATGTTATGTCGAACAGATTTTTTTTTCGTGCGAGCAATCAGCTCCACGGGAGTAAATATAGATCGATATACGATGACATTGCAAGAAGTCCTTGCGGCAGCGCGGCTTTGCTTCGGTTTATGGCGCCTCTCGCCCGTAACGGGAAGTGTCGTCCGCATAAATTTCATCGTAGGCGAACAGTTCTGGATCGTGACAGGTGAAAGACAGATGGGTCTCAGAAGGTCCATTATGTCACGAATCGAGTCGAGGCATTAGAGATCCTGAAAACTTCATCCGCGGTGCCCGTGCCTGCCAATTAACCCTTTGCTTACTCGAAAAGTATTTTAGCCATAAGGAACTAGCAGCTCGTAGCTTTTCTTCCACGTAAGAAACTAGAACCACGACAAAATTATTTTTAAATAAATATATAAAGATATAATATACAGAAGTATGTTAAATACAGTAAAGGACAAAAATTGGATCGAGTTTCAGAAATTTTTATTTTATTTCGATCCCACTGAAATCCCTGTGAGAAGAAAGAAGTTTCAATTTTTAACCCAATCTTTATAAATTACTTCATGAAATGACATTTTATATGAAAATACGCAATCCAATCATAAGGTACAGGATATCAAATATTATTATCTACCAAAGTGTAAAAATAAAAAATAATTGTAGAAACTGTTTTCAATAATTGCTTAAATTAAAATTTTAATTTGAAATTCTGGTAATTTATAACGTTTATAACAACAATTCAATAGTAACAGATACAGGCAACTTTATGATGTTTGTATATGTCCGAAACAATTGACTGTAAATTAATAAGCAATTGAGACTCCCGTATTCGATGAACAATCTAGCCTTTCTTCCCAACGACCTTAATTTCCGAGGGTTTAAACGAAGGCGTGTCTGGCAGATGGACCTGCAATTAGTAATGAAAAACTGTAATATGCGTTGGCACTCGTGTCATACGAACAACGAGATCAGTCTGAGGCGATCTGTTCAACTTTCGCTCCCTATATGGACTAGAGCCCCGTCGAAGACGTTTCTCATCTCACTTTTATCAATGTCCTTCCTTCTCTCGTCACCTCTCCCTATCTATCTAGAACACATTGCACTCAGCATTCACCCCAACCCACTCTAAATAAACTCCTCGTTATCTATTATTACCGATTAGAAAACAAACGAAACCAAAAAAATAGCTAAAATAAATCGTCATTAATAGATGAGAGTTAATTTCAATCTGGAAATATAATAGAATATTACACTCAATAACTCGATGTTGATTGTAAATAAATTTCTTGTTATCAACATGTTTAATACTATTTACGTTATTATTAATGTAGTAAAGACTCTAGTGTAAAATTCCGACCCGTTTTTATTTTTAGATACTATGTAGTATCTGGAATTGTGAATTTACATAAACTTCCGCAATCGAGTTATCAATTATTATTAGTTTGAAAAAAAGAGAAAACGAGAAACTAAAGCGGAATCATCACTAATAGATGAGAGTTCTAATCTCGAACTTCAGTAAAAGCTTAAACTCGATAACCCCGTGTTATCAATTATTTGAAGAAAATGAGAAACGAAAAAGCTAAAGTGTAATCGTCATTAATAGATCGGAGCTAGTTTTAATCTCGAAATTTTAACGAAAGATTAATCACCAGGCTACTCGAATGACTCAAGGATACAAGTATAATAAAAATGACGGTGTCAATTGTTGAACCGCAAAATGATGACCTCAATGTGGGCGTGAGAGTCACGGAAATACCGGTATTCGGGTCGAGGTCGTGCTTCGAGATCAGCTCCCGTTAGCAGGGTAAACCTTTCGGACTTTAAACTTCGCAGCGTTTCACTTTTCTTCCTCCGTGGAGAGTCGCGACGGGTCTCGATCTCTTTTCTTTTTCTTTTTTACGCACGCACTCGGGTTACGTGTTATTGTTGTCAGCGATAAAAGTTGCGTTCACGCAACGCAACATCTCGAAGCTCACTGGAATTTTTCGATAAGAACGGCGAAACACGGGAGATCAAGAGGGTTCTCCGGTGGCGGTGCATGCCACTTGAGCTACTCAGGCTTTCAAAAATATTACACACGTCACGGATGATCCACTTTTTGACAGACCCTGACTTACGAGTTTCACTTGGTCGGTCGTGGTTTTATTCCATGCGTGTTAGTTGACGTTTATTGCTCTATGAATAATTGGACCAAGTCACACAGAAACCTAGTAACCCTCAAAATGACAAAAAATTAGTTAAACATAATTTTGTGATTTTTATATTGCAAAAAATTACCAACCTATGGAACAACTCTTGTATTATACAATGTTAAAACTATCGAGGCATAGGAAATTAAAATTAAGTATAGAAAAGTTAGAATAATATTAATTATACTATTCACTGTCAGATAAACCATTTAAAAAAATTGCAAGACAACAATAAGAAATAAGACAGCCGAGTGGTGATTCTATGAGAAAAATAAGTCGAAAAGAAAGAATAAATTTTCTTCGTTTCACATTTTATTTTCGAGGACATCGTTAGTAAGTAGAAACGGAATGTAAAGATCAGACGCGCTAGCCAGGTCCTATTCAATTGCACGCGTAACCAGCAGATATAATAAATGAAAAAAATGTTCTTCTCTCTATTCGACATATTGTACACAATTTTAAGGACACCCTGTATGAAAATTAATTACATTGAAAGGATTAATTTCAAGACCCATATTGATTAGACATTTTTTACTCCTCTCGGTGAATAGAATAATCCTCTAAAATCGGAGAGATTCTTTTCTTTTATCACTCTGTGCATAACAAATTCATCGAATACACAGATTAATAACACTATAATTAATGTTCATAGCCCGATTACTACCGGGACGCGCCCCACTTCCGTTTGGTCGGCGAAGGACCACAATACCGACTGGAGATACCATACGCGAAACTCGATTTTACTGGAACGTATTCCGTGATAGCGCGCAACTGCCATGGGGATGCGAAGGCTGTGATTTCTTTGCAGATCTACGCGAAAGGTAAGTTGTCCCTCGGCCTAAACGAACGATCAACTATTCGACAGTTTAATTAGACGAAGAAACGCGATTTTAGGTCAAGGCAAAGAGGAAAAAATGAAGAAATCGGGGGTCACTCACGGGTAAGTGGTATCACGATTATTTGCATCGATATTGATGTTTTGACAGCACGATTTAAGAAGTTTACCATTTACGTAACAACAACGTACCGTTACGGACCCAATTCCGGATCACTTCCCAGATAGCACATCACGCCTAATGACGCCTTGAAGACGGCTTAAAGGCGCTTTAGACTTAAATTAATCGTAAAATGGGGTCTATCTGGGTTAAGAGCAATTTTTGATCACCTAAATCATATATCCGTATCTCACTCTGAGCTATCAAATTGTACGTATAAATTTCAAAATCGTTAATAACTAGTTAGTCATTTTTTGGGAAACGAACTTTAATTATAATAAACTTATTATATGTTGTTTATATACTACAGTGATCAGGAATTGGGTTCTGATCAGGAAAAGGGTCCGTGACGGTACTTTCACGCGTGTATTGATACTGGACGCTGATATTGGTACGCGTTTATTTTTTATTGACAGAAAAGTGCTAACTTTACCGGAGATCACGAGGGAACTGCGGGACCTCAGGTGTTGCGACGGCGACGCCGTCACCCTTGAGTGTAAAGTTCACGCCACACCTGAGGCACCTTTGGTGCGATGGGAACGCGGAGGAAAGGTGAGTGTTAACAACCGGTTACTTAAAACTTTTAGACACAACTTTTCGGTATTGTCGCAAGTTCTTGCATGTTTTCATACAGGTTGCATCTAAAGGAATAAAATTGAAAAACAATTTGTCATCTCACAGTGTAATAAGAAGATATTTAAAACAAAATTTAAAAATACAACGTTCTGAGCTAGTTACTATGTTTTGCATACTTTTATACAGGTTTTCATATTAGCAAAAAATGTTGATAGTCAACCTGTTAAAATACAGTAAAAACAATACCTCAAATTTCCATTGAACATTCGTACGTGTGTTATATAAAGATTCTTCCCATGGATGGCGACTTTTCCGTGGATTTCGACGGAGAAACCGCTCGTTTGAGCATCCAACATGTCTACCCGGAGGACGAGGGCGAGTACACCTGTGTCGTTTACAACGACCTTGGAAAAGCGTTCACGTCGGCGTGCCTGGTAGTGGATGGTAATTTTCTATATAAATTATGTCTACCTAAACACGACGGACAGGATTACAGGAAAATCAACAACGCGAATACTTGGACACTTCGTCTCGAATGTTTTTTTTTTTCAATTACCACCGTGCTTTTGATGCAAATCTCGTTTACATCCCACTTCGTATGGTTTAATTATAAAAATTTTGTGATAAGGAACCTGATTTCTTCCTACACTTACACCTCAGGCAACGTATAACCGCGTCCGAATGAGAAGTAACTGCGTAAATGTGGCAGATAGACTTCTTTCGTGGAATTTATCGTTTTCCACTTTTAGTGCCCGAAGGAAAGGAGAATACTTTGAGCCAAAGATTGACAAGGCCCGCGGCCCTATTGTCGGCGGGATCGACGCCGAGATCGACGCCACGATCGACGCCGATCAGAAGTTTGTCGCCGGCAGTTTCGCGTAAGTATATGCTTAATTGGAATACAATAAAAGATTAGTGGTTTAGTGTTATCTCAAACAGCAATTGTCCAATTAGAAATCAAATTGTAAGGACAGTTAAATCGAAGTATTAACACTAGGTACTATCTTTACTATACATATTAGTATATTATGAATATAATAATAGTAGACTATAATTATTGTTATGGAATTCTTTATTGCCAACAAAATAAAATATAGAACAATAAAGCGAGAACAAACCTATCTAAATATGTGAGTTAATTGCAAGATGCAGCATGATAGATTACATTTAAATATATCTGTAACATAACAATGTCGATAATAAATCTATTACTATCGAACTTGTTCACAGATGGTCGAGAACTGAGGTCCCCGCAACTCCTGCCGCGATGTAGATCGACGTCAAGACGACCAAAAATCAGTCCACCGAAATTTTACGCGGTTCCACACAATCGAGTGGTCGAGGAAGGTGAAACCGTGCGATTCCAATGCGCTGTGGTCGGCCATCCTACACCGTGGGTAAAATGGGACAAAAATGGCTTAGCCGTTACGCCTACCGCGAGGATCTCCATAAAGGAACGGGACGACGTGAAGATATTGGAAATCGTCGAAGTCACCCAAGAGGACGCCGGATTGTACAGGGTGATCGTGGAGAACGACTACGGCCGTATCGAAGCTAGTGCCCGCTTGGAAGTGATAAGTACGTACATATATAGTTTATAATCTCTAAGAAGTTTTGCAACACTAATAATCCCAGGTTTTAGTATTATTAATCTGTTTAAAACTTTGAAATTAGTCCATGATTTATTGATGAAAATAAATTATTCATTAAGCTACAGTAACACCTCGATGAGTGTTCGAAGGTTCCTCGGCACTGAACAATAAATATTTCATAAACTAATGGTCATATGCAGCTGAAACAAATATCATTGGCTTGGGAATTCCAAGCTCTATCACTGTGCTAAATCTTCTTGTCAGTGCCAAGGAATCTTCGAACACTCATCTAGGATTTACTGTACTTAGAAGTTTCTCTAAAAAGGAAATTAAAGAATGTAGTCGCATAAGAAGGTCAAAAGTGTCTTTGCACCGAATTGGACTGTCGATTGAAGAAATCTTACCAAGAAAAGACAATTCGTGCCAATGTTCATCCACGGTTAAAAATATGATTGAATGTTATAATGCTCGATATAATTCCGTTTCAAAAGATCGTCAACTACTTGGCCTGGTCTCCCGGACGATCAGAACCAGAAGCGCGTCTCCTCGAACATACCCATCCTTTGGTCGAAGCCTATTGGACACAACAACCAGAATAAATGGGCGACTGCAACTTGGATGCGGCATCAGAGGATCGCCCAGTCCGACACCAACGTGGTTCAGGTAACGCGGAACTAAAGTTGTTGCATTACATTTAGTAAAATCTTGAACGAAAACATAAATCTTTGTACAGTTCACGGTTTTTAAATTAGACAGTAAAAGCTTGATATTTGCATTGACATCCACGATCTCGTCGTGACCATTTTAAAATGAACAATAGGAATTACAATTTCTGATGTGTTCCCAGTGGTTTCCTTGTCGAGACTGTTTTCTTTCGTTTTAATAAATTCCAAATGACTGATTTTCTAGAAATGGACGACCGTTGGAACGATCGAGTCGAATAAAAAGGTACATCGACGGCAATACCGCGAAAATCGAAATTTCAAAAGTGAAAGCGAGCGACGCCGGTGTATACACTTGCGTGGCAACGAACGTCCTTGGTTCCACCAAGAATACGTGTCAGGCAAGCATCCTAGTCATATGCTAATATGTACTGTGTTATTGTTATTCAATGTGAAATTGTCTCATCTTTCATTCATCCAATTGTCTGCTACAGGTGACCGTTCTTGACCCCCACGATCCGTCCACTTGCGACAAGGATCCCCCAAGGTTCCTCCAGTCTCTCCCTGAAGAGTCGATCGTCATGGAAGGACATTGTTATGAGCTTCAATCGCGACTCACGGGTACCGTACAACAAATAATTCTAAAATTTTGAAAGACTATTGATAATAATTTGAATAAACAACATAGTACGTTGTTCTATAGGTTGGTAATCGTCCATGTTAATTGACATCTCGAAATGTCTATACATATATCCAGAAACCTCATTAACCCATTTAACCCAGACACGTCTCTTTTCCTTTTTTTGTATTAAACAATTACAGGCACAGAGTTTATACAACAACCTAACACTAAAATTAAAATTAAGTACAAAATAGAAATCTAGCATTGTAAATTTTTAAGGTACATTTAATGTGTACAATTTAGGTACTCCACCCTTCGCGGTTGTTTGGTCCAAGGACGGTCGTGAGGTACCTGACAACGATTACTGCAAACACGTGACATATGGTGACGGTGGAATCGCTCTTAGATTGTCTAACGTGTCTCCACAAGATGCTGGAGAATACACTTGCCTAGTTCGCAACAGTTTTGGGGAGGCTTCTTGTAAAGGTCTCTTTGCTGTTCAAGGTAGGCGTTCGCTCAGAGAAACTCGTCTAACACTAGTCTAACAGGACCTGTATTGTTCGATATGTAAGCTAGAGAGAAACAAAATTAAAATCGACATAAACTCCGTAGTTTAATAAGATTATTTGAAGTACAGACATTGTGATAACAAATTAAGACATTCTGTCCTTATGAATAGATTACAAGGGTGTTCCCAAACTAGCACCGCAGTTCACGAAAACTCCAGTATCGGTTATCACATCGAAGGGAGAGACTGCGTGCTTCTGTGCTCGAGTGCAATGTGGAAAGCCCATGGAAGTCACGTGGACGATCAATGGAAAAGACGTTAAAGAAAATTTACGATGCAAGGTCAGTTCAACAATTTCATAAAATTATTTACCACCCTATCACAGACCCTCAAGTTTGGCAATTTTCACCGATTTTTACGAAAACGACCATCACAAAAGAATTTTAATCTCAGCAACTATCAAAGATAAGAACGTGATTCATCTTTCGTTTTGATCGTAAAAGATCGTTCTTTATAGAGAATTATTTGTTTTGTACGTAAAATTATGTTTGTAATGCTAAAATATTAAAAATATTTTTGTTTTGCTTCGATCCCTAGTAAATTACTTTGGCCTGTGAATACAGGGACTCATACATGATTCTCTAATTATTTCGAACGGTATATTTATCACAAATCAATCGTAAATCACACTGACAATTTCCTTTATTTCTGAAAAACAAAAGGTTGAAAAGGACGATAACGTAAGCATCCTGAGGATACACAATGTGTCAGCTCGGGACACCGGTGAGGTTCGATGCACAGCATCCGTGGTTGGAAAGGGTCCGTCGATCAGTTGTACAGCGGAATTACGATTGAAACGGTTCCATCACCATTCGGAGGACTCGACATCACCGTACAACAACGTCTACGCAGAAATCAAAAAGAGTGCCAATTGCGCTCGCAGTAATTCTCTGAGGAAAACGGCCAGAAATGTTCCTCGATCGCCTCGGCATCAACGTTACGAGTCACCAATGCGCGCTAGATCGTCTTCGTTGCCTTTGAAATCCACTCCAAACACCCAACAGTCTCCTTCGCCGATAAAAAGGAACGTTCCACCGAGTCCGTTGCTCGGCTCGAGAAGAATACTCGAAAATAAATCAAATGGAAGGAAAGATCTAGCTCGAAAACAGACAGACAATAACGTAGCTCGTTTAGTGAGGAACTCGAACGATCGAAAGATCTCGTCTTCCGATGACGAGGATGTGAATGTCGCGAATGAAACGTTGTCTTCGACAGCATCGAACGAAACTAGTTCGGAACTAGTAAAGGATCAGAAAAAATGTTTGCAGAAGATATCACTGAGTCCTGATCCGTGTAAGACTGAGAAAAATTCGAAAGAAATTCGGGATAATTCGAATAAGTATGACAATACGCCTATAATATGCATGGAATGTGCTCCAGTTTCGGAAATACCGGATGATCCTTCGAAGAAGGACGATGACGTCGAGACGAAGGAGGAGAAAGTTAACGACGCGCCGTTGGAATTTATCGCGGCCGCTATTGTAAAGGTACCAGCTGACGTCACGGTCTTCAGAGGAAACAGGGTGGTCCTCCGGGCCAGCTATTGTGGGTATCCGGAACCACAGGTGAAATGGCTTCGAGCGGTAAATATTGCTTAAATACTTACAGTCGTTGTCAAAAGTATTCCTACGCCCTTTAAAACGGAACAACTTTTTTAAAATTGCTCCAAATGACTTGAGTTCTTCTGTGAAGACATTAGTTTAATAAATGATGTGTAAAAAAAAATTGAAAAAGTTGCAATTGGTTGGAATCGCGAAGTAAATAGTAAAGGTCGTTTTTTACAATTTTTTAATCTGAGGCTGTAATGAAAATTTATTAAATACGTATCGAAGATTTATGTTAGTTATACATATACATACTGAAACTTTCATTGAAATCGGCTAATACAGAAACGAGTAACTGTTTTACAATGATTGGTAGTATTCCACTTTTTCACTGTGTATAATATTTCAGAAGAAAAAATGTGTTTGACCTTGACTCTATGACTTCAAAAGGACTTGACTCTATTAATACGATTTCTACGTTGGACAAAGAAACGTCTGTTCTTGCGGAATTAGTCTGCAAATTTTCGTCAATGATAATCTGATCGATATATGTATTTAGTGATCGCAATATAATCATTAAATTCTAGTTTATATTTCTTGCTTTTTTCTTGAAGGGTCGCGAGCTGGTTGCAGGCAAAAAAACTGCTATCACTTATGGCGGTGGTGTCTCTTGCTTAATATCGGATGACGTTACCGCCGACAACGCTGGAAAGTACGAAGTATCCGTGGAAAACAGATTGGGAAAGGACAGACGGTGCTTCAGCGTTGCTGTTGAAGGTACTGTGTCTTATACACAAAATTCAGTGTATGCAATAATCCATGATAGTAACAAATAATGGAATCATTATATGACCCAGTGTACCTGTTATTTAAATTATATTCTCTTAAACACAAGTATTATATTTTTAAGTTAAAATGGTGACCATTTTAAAGAATACCATTTAATACCATCTAAATATATAAAGAAAATTAAAGACGTTTTAACAGTTCCTTAAATATATACTTAAATTCTAATAGCAGAACCGATTAATCTTGCTATGTGCACAAGGCGTGAATTAAATGTTACCATAGATAGCCATTATATAAATGGCTCAAGTAGAGACCGCGCGCTCGTTTAAACAATCTACATAGATACGGGCAACGAACATTGGGGAACCGATTAATGTTTACAGAGCTACGAAACAAGCGGTCTTACATCACGCGCTTGAATTCTCTTGCCTTGATATCGCGCACGTTGGTGAGCATGTGGCATGAACCGTACAGCTGTGCCTTTTCGAGCAAGCAGTATGAAACTAAAAATAGGCTTATGGTATCAAAGAACCCCGGAATCCGATTTCTCGAAGTTAATTAGGAAGAAATTAGTGGATCGCCGCCTAATACGTCGAATTTCTTTCGATCAAATCGCAAAAGTACACGACTTTGTCCTTTAAGTTTCGTGTATGCAATTGTCGTGACCTTTATGGTGCTTGGTACCGTTTCTTTTTAAGAATTATTTTCCTAATAGTTCTTCTAATCAAAACTACCTAAATCTTCAGCTTCAGGGATTGGCAAGCTGCCAAATAAATCGGAAAAAGTTGTGCTTCATAATAAAGAATTTGTTTCAGATTCGGTTATTCTACGACTGTTTGTTAGAAAGTAATAAATTTGCTGCAAAAAAAAAAAACTGTTACGAGAAACGTATTTCGTTCAAACCTACGATTTATCCCATCGCAGGCCTCTATTCTCTCAGATCTCGCGAACGCAATTCGGAACGAGACACCCATTGTTTCACATGCTTAACCGTCGTGTCGCACGGTCCAGTTCCTCTTCTTGTGTACAAGGCAGACGACAGTCTCACGTGACGTATCGCGCAATAATTCCTCCTTCCCGTGTGTCTTCTGCCGCTCCCCCACCCAGCATCTTCGTTCCTCGATCTTCCTCCACCGACGACGAGATCGACTACGCGAACGGTGCAGTGACGAGGAAGCGCGCGTGGAAACCAACGGCGGCAACCGATATTAATTTAGAATGTCGATCAGTATTGCCGAAACGCTTCTGTTTTCACTTTCGTCCGTTGTCTGAGTTCTCGAAGTCTGTGCTCGCGACGTGGTCTCGTGGAAAGGATTGCATTCGAAGATGGGTAACCACCAACTTTATTCTAACGTGTCGAAGCGAATTTCGTCGAGGAGAATTAACAGAAACTGATTCTATTAGCATCGTCGTGGATTGAACAAGAGACGAGGACTTGGTAGAGGCGACAGTGTTTTCGATGACACGTCCCCATTGGTCTTACCATATTACTTCGGAAGTTAATGATATTTATAGTTTCGAATTTTGTTTGTGAATTTTGAACGTTTGTTGGGGACCTAGAAGCATGTTTTTGTTCCTTTAGGGTGAATGCACCCCTTAAATGTGAAATGGTTCCTTGTTGTCTTGTGTATCTTGAAAATTACAGTAGATTTAAAAGAAAATTATAAGAAATATTTAATAGGCTTTTTTATGCTATACAAAACTGTGCAATAAAATTGTCATAATTTGTTATTTAGATAAAGAAGCAAATTAATTTTTAACAATTTCAGTAGACAGTTTTATAGAGCATTAAGCCATTAAATTTTCACTGTAACAATTTTGTTTGTATGTATTATAATTTTCAAGGTATAAGGAAAATAGGAAAATATATATCAACCTTCAAAGGGTGTTTTCACATCGAAGAACCAACAAGCAGCGAAATGAAATTACGTGATACTTCTATTGAGATCCCCTGCAAACCTGCAAAATGTAAAAAAAATTGAATTTTCAAGTTACCCAATGATCTTCAGTTAAAGGCCTATTAACATCTTACTCACCGTTTGTATTAATATGTTTTTTGATATCGGTGATTTTCTATAAGAAGCCAATTAATTTGCCTTCGAATCATGATTAAAAAATAAATTCTACATTATGTTATTAGATCTGTAGCTACGTTCCACGATTGTAATTTACTACTGTGATTGAACTCATTATTAGCAGTCCTTGGCTGTTGATCGTTGGGTCTAAGAAAGCTATTGAGGTAATGTCTTAATAAATAATTCAATCGCAGTAGCAAACTAAGATCGTGAAACATAGCAACAGTCCTAATAACATAATACAGCAATTTCTTCTTTAATCCTTATTTAAAGGTAAAGTAAGCTTCTTGTAGATAAGCGCTCAAATCATGAAACCTATCATCAGGTTTCCGGTTAGAAATATAAAAAACTTTTACATTAAAAATATAGAAAAAACATATATATGTTAACTAATTCTGCATATTATTTCTCACTCGAACGATGATTAATGATTTATAGGAGGTTTTGAAAGGACCGCGATAACGTGAAACGTCTTTAACCGATTCGAGCTCCGTGTAATTGGGTTCACAATGAAACGTATACACTTTGACAGTTTTTATTTGTAATTTCAAATCGTCCGTTGAACGCTACGCCCTTGAGACATTCTTTGCCGGCGTTTAGAAAAACTGGTCGCGATAGAAATTGACGCAACAGAGGAGCGGCGAGCGCGCCAATTTCTGTTAAGCGGGCTCAGTCGGTGACTGGACTCGTTCGAAAGAGGATTCTCAACAAACCACTCTAATTTGTTGTCAATTTTTGTCGAAACAAATCCTGATCGGGTACACACGATTGTGTAGATTTCTAAAATAATAAAGTGACAAACGCAGATCACGTGAATTTAACAATTCTTTCTGAAAAGTTTACAGTGGGACAACAAATTTCTATACTTCACTGCAGATGCAACACATTTGTGAAAATAATTAAATTACAATTATTATGAATTGTGATCCGATCTTAATCGGCGTTAATTAAAAGTAGTTCGTGCGAACTGTGTGTTATTAATGAGTGAAATCCACTTCGATAACTGATTCCAAGTGGAAAGAAACAATAGAAGAAGTTTATGTAAACAGACGATTCCGTTGCTTATGAGTTGGAACTTAAGTTGTGTTCTATTTACGGAGTTTATTAATGTTTCATTTTTAATGATTTTGGAACTGAATCTCTAAAGAATATATTTAAATGATTCTTACGTTCAATTACGAGCGGCAAAGATTACTAAAGCACTGTACAAAAATACCATTGAAATAATGACAAACAACACTGCTTATCGTGTTATAAAAAGATACCAAGTATTTTGTAAACATTACTGATTAGTGAAGTGTAACCTTTACAAGTCATTTCTATGAAAATAACACGGTGCAGTCTTATATTCTGAAACAGGTGAAATTTCGTTTCTTTTTGATTGTACATAAACTAGAATAGTTAAAAAAAACCTTCCAAAATGTACAGTGTAAAATTTACCCCTTTATCTAATTTCATTCTTATATGTTCAATCATTTATTCTTACCACAATTTGTAAAAAATTACTTATAAAGTGCAGAACGTGTAAAAGCCCAGTAAATGTTTATGCCCAAAATTGTTTTACTTGTTAATGTTTATTTAATACGCTGAACTAAAAATATGGGATATTAAAACATTTAATAATTTATGTTCACCCTAGAAACAATTAAATCTTTCATCCATCATATTTATCTATTATCAAGGGAATAAAAAATTTTCGAATTTTTAGACATTTCTAAATTATAGAAATTAAAACAGAAATTTCTATAATTTAGAAATTTAATCAATTTTAGACGACTTTGACTTACAATACACCTATAAAAAAATTCTCTTAACCGACCTTGCAGGACCACCTGACCCTCCAGCGGGTGTTCCCAGCGTGTACTGTTCCCCGGGCACGACCACCATCAATTGGCGATCGTCACCGTACGACGGCGGCTGTACAGTCACCGGTTATACCGTGGAAATGAATCGGGCCGGTGAAAATACCTGGACGACCGTCGCTGAATCCTGTCACTCGCTGAGTCACACGGTACCAGCACTTGGAACGGACACCGTCGTACCCGGTGAGAGATATCGATTTCGCGTTCGAGCGGAGAACATCCACGGGGTCAGCGAACCGGGAAACGAGTCCGAGTTCGTCAGAATCCCGAAGGAAGGGGAGACGCAGCTTTACGAGGACGAGGAAGGTAAATGAACAAAATAATGATTTATTTGTACAACAAATAATTATTCAATGTGTCTCGTAATATACATTGCTTCAAATAATTGAGGGGTCCAGTTCAAGAGGGAGCTACACCGCAATACATATGTTTAACACGTTCCGTGCCACAGTGAAAAAGGACATACGTAGCCAGACACTCTTTATTCCGGTCTTCCAAATAGATTCCGTCTTTTTGTTAATAGAGGCTGTTGGTCTTGTTTTAAATTACAATTCCGTGTCACATGTACCTTTATTAATTTCAATCGAAACAATGCATACGAAATTATATACAAAAATAATTTGCCGTTTCTCTAGCGAAAATCTTTATTAACACTAGGAACTACCAACGATAAATGAATATCTTTTTCGATCGATCGATAAATATGGCAAACTTTTGAAAATTTACTAATTTCTTTAATGTCATGTTGTATTAAAATTTGTATTTTATCGTACTTTACATATTTGGCACAGGAATTAACAAAAGCCACAATGAAGTATAATTAACTGTGTAATAATGTTTCGAAAGAATTTGAGCCACCATTCGAAGCCAGAGTGGTCGAAATGGAAGACGGACATCTGTTCGCCGATCGGTACGATGTCCTAGAGGAGCTCGGAAAGGGTCGGTACGGTACCGTGAAGAGAGTCACCGAAAAATCCAACGGAACGAGCTTCGCCGCTAAATTCGTCAGGACCATCAAGACTAAAGATCGAGAACAAGTTCGGGAAGAGATACGAATCATGAATATCCTGAGGCATCCAAAGCTTCTTCTTCTTGCCGCTGCTTTCGAGAGTCCCCGAGAGATCATTATGATCACCGAATAGTAAGGATCCTCTAAAATGTGTTAACCCTTAACTGGTGAGATAAAAAATCTTGTTATTTGTTACTTATTACTTATTAGAGATATAGAACAATCGAATAAAAATTAAATATTTGAAATATATCGATTGAGTTTCTCAGACACCACCTAACCAGTTAAGGGTTAAAAATGTTTCGATAATAATAACGAAAATTTAATTGAATTCTATTATCTTCTTCTGTAGCATTTCTGGTGGCGAACTGTTCGAAAGAGTGGTTGCTGATGACTTTACGCTCACTGAAAGAGACAGTATACTGTTTATGACACAGATTTGTGAGGGTGTCGAATATATGCATCAGAATAAAGTGGTCCACCTGGACTTGAAGGTAATAAAAGTTTGCATTAAAATTAATTGGAGATATTGTTTTCTATTTTTTTGCACGATATTTTATAGTTTACTTATACGTCCTACTTTCCGGTATTACCTTCAATACAGTTACATTAATTTCATTATATTTTTAACGTCATTTTATTTTCTTTCATTTTAATATTAAGTATTCGACGTGTACATTTTCTTTTTCTTCTTGGCCTCACGACAAAAATATTTCTGATCAAAACAAAACCTAATAAGAAGGAATTTACTACGTTTAGTACCGAATTTATGTACTTCGTATTAATGTACACTTTATTTAATTTACACACTTTTTTTAATTACAGCCAGAGAATATCATGTGCAGGACGCGAACTTCCCATCAGATCAAGCTGATCGATTTCGGTCTAGCTCAGACTCTGAAACCGGACACTCCGATCAGAGTCCTTTTCGGTACGCCGGAATTCATTCCGCCGGAAATCATAAGTTACGAGCCGATCGGCACGGAGTCAGACATGTGGAGCGTCGGTGTGATTTGCTACGTTCTGTAAGCACTTGTCAAAATTGAAAAAAAAACGTATTTCAATAGTGTGTAGGGTTTGAAACGGTTCCAAAAATAATTGAAAATCACAACATAAGATAAGTATAAGAAATTTTGGTTGGACACAGTAATTTGTAGCCATTTTGGAACTGACATGGAACCTAAAAAAATAACAATTATAGAACTGACATTTAAATCTACACAGTTTTCCGGAATAAAAATCGAAATCGATATTATAACATTTTTCAAGCCTTGGTTATGTGACATTTATGCAAGATTAACACATGATTGTTTAGACTGACCGGTTTGTCGCCGTTTATGGGTGACAACGACGCCGAAACCTTCGCGAACATCACTCGAGCGGATTACGATCTAGAGGACGAAGCATTCGACGCGATATCGAACGACGCTAAGGACTTCATTAGCGGTTTACTCGTCAAACGGAAAGAGTACGTATCCGACAAACTGTTTTACTAGTTTGCTTTGATATCCACGTCAATTCAGAAATAAAGTTGTCTTAACTTCACTTCTAAAGTAAACGTGTATTAATTAAATAAAATAGAATACAAAAATATGATTGAGATAGATTCGTAAGTAAAAAGATCAAATAAAATTGATTGCGTCAAACATGCGACCGATTCAGTATTAAAAAAAAATACATACCAATTAAGATGTGATCTTGAAGAAATTATTCCCCATATTTTATTCATGGGAAATGTATATAAAAAAAATTGAAATTGACATTGTTACAAGTTCCTCAGCGTTATATACTATTTTATAACATTACGTTAATTAATGATAATTAACATAATGATATGTTATAGATTGCGAATGTCGGCAAGACAGTGTTTGGAGCACCCATGGATGGCGCAACACGCGGAAGCTATGAGTAGGATCGCCTTGCCGACAGAAAAATTGAAGAAATTCATCGTACGAAGAAAGTGGCAGGTAAGAATCATTGAAAATCATTTTTCAGTGTTTATTGTTGTTTTCGAGTGTCCTTTTTATACTCACCCGTGTGTCGTATTTTATATCGAAACAACAAAGATGTTTGAGTTGCTGGAGTTGTAAAACAGGCGTCACATAAAATATTCCTAAAACTTTTGATACTAATACAAGCATGTGTTTGATCATGTTTGCGTGCGTGTGCTTTCGTTTGTTGTCGCAGAAAACAGGAAACGCCATTCGTGCATTGGGAAGAATGGCAATTCTTTCGGCGAACAGCCGACGAAGTCCAACGGCGACGGCCGAGTCATCGCCGACAACGGAACCTTCGACGAACCCTATCGAATCTCCGCGATCGATCGACACGGAGACATTACCTTACGATCCAAGAAAATACGTCGCTGAGAACGCGTCGAGCAAAATCGACGCAAGCCCGACTGGTTCCCCCAAAAGGAACGTGTACTCGTTCTGTTACAAGACAGAGGTGAGCCTGTTTCCGGAGGAAACGTTAGACGTTCCACGAAAAACGGAGGCGAACATGTCAACGGACCTTGACGACTCGTGTTTGAAAAACGAACCGCCAAGAAACGTGACGAGATCGTGTTCATGGAAAACTGAGACCGAAGGGACTCGAGAAACTGACACCGTCGAGAAAACCGTGGACCGAACCACCAAGGTCCACTCGGAAGAGTCAGTCCCTCCGACGAGAACAGAGGAAATGGAGATCATCAAGGAGTACGAAACGGAAGAGTCGATTGTAATTAAAGAGGATACGTCGTTTCTGAAAAGTATTCGTTTCGAGGAGAGGAATTTCAATAATAATTTCGATAAGAATGTAAAATATAATGACAAGAAGAACTTCTCGAGTGTTCAGGAAGACGTACTTTCGAAGTTGAAACTCGAAGACGATGGAAATGCTTCTGAATCGTATGGATTCGACTCGACGTCGAACGTTGAGGAACGACATGTTAGCCAGATGGAAATGGTCTTTGAGGTACAAGAGACTGATTCAAAGGAGAAATGGAACCAAGAACCGAATACGTATCCGCAAAAGCCTCGACGAGTCTTCAGGGGTGACTCTAGGGACTCGGGAATAGGAGATTGTACGTCGAATTTGTCTACTTCTCTGCAACATGTGAACGAAATCGGTATCTCGGCGATTAAAGAGGAAGAAGACAATGAGAATAACAACGGTAATGACAAAGATGTTTCGAAGGGGACCGTGCAGTTCGTATGCCGCAAGTCTGTTGACAAAATGGCCGACGCGACAGGAAACGGTCGTGACTCGGCTACTCTGAGTGGTGTGACTAAAACCTCGCGTGAGATTAATCGGCATGAAGGTGTGTTCACTGTGCAGTTTGTTTTAATTGTAGTTGAATTTATGATTTTCGTTAAAAATATGCATGACAAGCCATTTTTAAGTGGGAAGAATCTTTCATCTGGAAATCAGATCATATATTCTTGATCTTCAAAAAATTTATCATAAATGTTCTCGGCCAAAAGTTCTTTCAAAGTAACGAACAAATAATTCTTTTAAGGTAATACCTATCGTTTTATTATGCATAAACTTATAATAACTTCATTAGAAGAACAAGAATAAAGAAATTATTGTTGTAATATTCAATATCTTTTATCATAATATGGTGGGTCTCAGGTCTGGTTGTATAACCTGGCAGGACGCGACTCTATAAGAAGCAATAACTCGAGAAAAAAGAATAAACATTTTTCGGATGATGCTTCGTTTTCGAGATAATTGAATTTGAAAATTTGTGGGATACGCAGACAGTAGAATAGGACTTGGTTAAAGCGTCTGTTCATTGCAGACCGTATCTACTTATTGCCCCATATTCAAACCCAATTCTCTCGTAAACGAAACTTCAAACGAAAAAAAAATGTATTCTTTTTTTTTTTACTTATTCTTTTTTGTAGATTCACTTTTTGTCCAATTGCACTACCCTACCTGAGACACCCTATATAATTTGACCAATACAGTGGCAGAAAGAAAAATACATTCCAAATAATACAATTATCTACGGCGATCAACCAATAATTGCATCGTTATCCCCACCAACCGTAATTTGACGTAATTTCATCAATTTTTCGTACATTGAATTTCACAATAATTTCGTAAAACCACCAAAATGGCGTTCCCCCTTAAGCATAAAGGATTTAATAAAAATATTCAAAATATTATATACCTTCTTAATTACAGTTGCCAGCGATATTGAGGACCCACGGCTACTAATCGGCCGTAATCGAAGTAAATTCGTACCGACCGGAAATGTAAGCCGCACCGCGAAATTGTTCGAAAAGGAAGCGGCGGCGTCGAAGCCGCCATCGAGCATAACACAAATGTCGCAGCGAGCGTATCCAACGGTCCCCGTTCCCGCTGCAAAGCCTCACAACGAAAGGGTACAGAAAGCGTTCGCATTCTGGAATAAATAAATTAGTATAAGAAACGAGGAACCTTAGTCTGTAACACTTTTAAACTCAGTACGATATTTAGGACGGAAACATCGTTTTCGTCTCCAGTTTAAAAGCCCGGTAAATGAGATTATTACAGATACCTCCCTCCCCCTCCACCAACCACCCCTTTTAAATCGTAACCACGCCCCTTAACCCCTTTAAAACCTATTGTGCGACTCCTACCCGTTGCGATGAGGAAAAGTTGCACTTTAGAATAAGCAATGTTACGATCATTAAAAAAAAAAAAAAAAAGGAGTATATATTCGACAATTTTTCTTATCAGCCACGTGTTGTTTGAGACGAATGTTTTTGCGACAACGCCTCGTACGAGTATGATTGCCACGTTGATATGTTTCTTCTTAGTCTTTCTTCTTTTTTTTATGTTTCAATCGAAATTATCCTCGACATTTCGCGATGCAACGTAAGTAAGAGCGATCGAAAATTCGATTTTAATATTAACATTTCGTGTAGATACGTTCAAGAATTTTCGACGTGTTTCGTATAAAATATTCACGACTTTTATCGCGAACGGACGAACGCGGACAAAACGTCGTTCGCCATTTTCGATGCGTGTAAATAGCTGTTCAGTGACATTTTACAAGCGTAACGGTGTAACAATGTACTTATTATCTCACTTCCTTTGCACCTTTTAGTTTTTCTTGCGAACATACGAAAACGATTACGTGTATTATTAGTATAAGTTATACATGAGTAATAAAAGTAATAAAAAATACGTACCCTGACTAATCGTATGCACTACAGTCTGACAGATACTTCGTACCTACACGGTTCTGGGGAGATGAAAATTTTACCATTCGACGTCATACATTCGTGTTCGACAGAATTTTTATGTATTCTAAATATTCAAAGTTTTCAGGTATTTCATCTACAACCTACATCTGTGAAAATATAAATTTAATACTACACAATCAAATAGTAAAAACTTGGTTTATTTGACCATTTAATCGTGTGATTTGAGGATTTACTTCGCGAAGGTATACTACTCAATACTTAAGTGCGAAATCAAAAATGAAGCAGACAGAAAAATTGCATTTTTTTTTTTTGTTTAATTTAATACTAATAAGTAAATGTGCCGTTTCTTTCGTTCATGCCAATTACTCCATCTTTTATTTTATATTTCACACAGCTTAGTCGATTTTATAGAGCACTCAACACGTGCGGCCGATGAACTGACAACCTGGTTTCTGCGCCGATTTCTAAATAATAAAGCTTATCCTTAGTCGCGGGTTTCCAAGTGACATTGACAACATCTTCGAGAGTTGGAGTTGGATTCCTGTGTTATAAAAGAAAAAAATAAACGTCGTACCCTGCTCAGGCATTATATGAAGTCCCATAAATCACTTACCCGGTTTTCGCGAAGTTAGTCCACATTGTAGTTAAACGCTCCATCATTTCTCGATCTTTTGTACCCTTCTCAGGTACTCCTTCGTCCTCAGTTTTACAACAAAGCATGTTAAACAAATACGGCATTTCATCGGTATGGGAAACTCCTGAAAGGTATTTGACAATATTAATTTCGAAATTAGTGGTATTTAAAGAATATTAATATCCTATTTTTTTAGGGTTGCTACTGTTGGCTTTAGCTGTTAACATTTAACAGCATCCCATTTGTTTTAAGAAATAGATTATGGGCATTTTTATAAACAAAGAAGTAATATAATTTGAATATGTAAAATTTAAGTATAAGAAAATTAGTTTTAAAAGATTTTATTTTTAGGAATAATACGGAATACGAAAAAACGTGAATTAAATTAATAGAAACAATTTAATTGAATAATATTGTTTTAATTAAATTAGTAGGAATAATTTAATTGAAACCTTTAACGAATCGTTTGACGAGAAAGTCCGCCTGTGACTTCTGACCACCAACGTAGGAATAAATATAAGAATAAGTGGGCGCTGACGTCCTTTTCACTCGATTCTCCAGAAACACTTTGAAATGAAGAGTAAAGTACATGTCACTCAAAAATTCTAACGCATCTAATATGTTATCTTCACTGAAGATCGGTTGTGCCTTGAAATACCAGTCTTTGACAATTCGTGATAATTCTTCTGTCTCTTCGGGGTCTAAATTTTTCGCTGTTGCCATATATTTCACGAAATCTACGAAATGCTTGTTCAGATCGTCGAATGTCTTCTTAGTGTTGTCTATGGAGAAATATAGTATAAAGACAGTATGTAGAAACACTTTCTTAGGGAATTTTTCATTAAACACACTGTATTTGCACAGGTCGTTACCTCTTAAAAATATTATGAACTCGTGTGACGTGTTTCCTATTATCATGGGAATGTTGACATCGTTCAGAACTAATTGCTCCAATGGAACTGGTAATACTGGATTTTCCGATGCCGTGTCGATGCTGAGAGCACAACGAATATGGTATTTTCGCATCTCCTATAAAAGTATAAGATTGACGTTTGCATTTCCGATTAATGGTAATACATACATACGAGCAATTATATTTATCATGGTACTAGAATATACACGCTGAAGAAAATGTTCTTACGTCTTTCGTAAGAATGGACGCGTGCGCTTTGACGATATCCATAGCAGGCACCTGTTTCAAAAATCTAATCATTTCTTCCGTATCTGTAGTTTTATTGCCAAGCAACGACGCAAGTCGAAAACTTTTGCGATCCGTTTCGAAGCTCCATGGACACGTTATCGTTCCACTTTGCAGAATCACTTTGTGGAAGAGTCCTGAGATAAAGCATGAGATGTAAATATTAAAGAAATATTACTTATGAAATTTAACAAAATTTAACCGATATTTTTTATGGTTCACTGCGTAGTTTTAGATATAGATGATTTCGCACACGATCAGTTTAATGACCGACGCACAGTGGTACATAATGACTTATCTTTTCAATCGTAATTTTAATACATTTGTTTTAATTCATAGATATGTTTTTGCTGCTACATTTTAGAAGGTGATAATCAATTACCTCGCGACTGTGGTGATACAATTATGGCATGAGCTAAGGCTGCACCGGCGCTGAACCCAAACACCGTAATATTATTTGGATCTCCGCCAAATGAAGCGATATTCTGGTTAACCCATTTCAAAGCTAGAATTAAATCTTTCAAGCCCATATTACCGGACGCATCCTTGTGTTGCAGGTTTAAGAAACCTATAAAATTGTACGACATATTTCTTCATTCTGATTTAGCATAAATTTGTATATCGTTATTTAATGAATAGAGTGCCGATTTTATATATTTATAACCTATAGAACTCTGTGAAACATAATTAGAGACGAAAGTTTTTCTCAGATGCAGCGAGTTTTCTTTTTTTTTAAAGTTTCGAAATTTAAGTTCCAAATGGAAACGAAACTAACCGAATGCACCCAGTCTATAATTAGGTGACACGATGATGACGTCTTTCCGCACCAAGTAATCAGGTCCCCAATTCGAGATGGCCCCGGTTCCGGAAATGAACGCGCCGCCATGGACCCAGAACATGACCGGTTTAGGTCCATTTAGGGAATTAGTATAAACATTTAAATACAGGCAATCCTCGTCACCGACATAATCGCGCGTTGGGAAGTCTAATCTTTGTGGGCAAAGATTTACTGAACTGTTGGTAGCATCCCTTATACCGATCCATCCGTCAGCTGGTTCTGGATCCTATAAGAAACCGGGCATGAAGAAAAAATTAAATAGGAAAAAGTTTTGCAGCTTTCTATGGGCAACATAATAACGTTTATCGCATTTTTATGTTTGAAATATTTTTCGGAAAAACGAAGATGACCTTCAATTTTTTAGACGAAATAATCTTTTATGTCGTATAAAAGTATGTGTCAAGACGAATTCATCAGCAAATTATGGAATGACCTTGAAGGTCGTACAAGTTCAGAAATGAACGGAATATTTTAAATATTTCGTACCGTCACAGCTGTACAAGCTGTCATTATTCAATTCCTTACGTCATCCGGAGTGGTACATTGTTGCTGGTAATCGTTTCCTTTTTTTTATTGTTCATTTCATTATGCCACTATTTTTTCAATGTTCAAGCTCTCCTCAAAATCATACGAATTTGAAATACTTTATAAAATGGATTTTTCAAAAACCTTGCATTCCGGAAAAAAAAGCGATTTGCTAATTCTATTCAGCTCTTAAAGACCTATAAGGAACGCGTATTGAAGGTCACTCATTACTTTCTTACTAAATTGATCTACAGCTTTTCTTATCCCGGGAAAATTATATTAATCTTAATATTAGAAAAACGTTGCAGAAGGTTACTTTTGTATAAAACACGGTTTCTTGTATTGAAAGTATAGAAAAATAAAACAACTTTAAATTGCTTTGTAATTGCAGGAAAATAACAAATATACGAGAGTTAAATGGTTAAACTTTACACTTTAAGAAAATAAGTCATATTCTTCCGTTCCTCAGTTGTATAACGTACAAGAAAAAATTGATGACAAAAACAAATTCTGTTTTTCTATGACGGAAATACTCTCTTGGTATTTCATATTACCGTGTCATCCACGACTGATGGAAAGAAGAAATCGATTTTCTTCAATAATGACGTAAAGTAAACATTTTTTTTGTATTTCTGAATTAATAATTGGAAGAGTTTTCTGTTATAAATCTTCATAAAGTGTCAAAATTTGCATGAATTAAATTCATGAAAAAACTTTATTTGCTATAAATCTTAAATTCGTATGATGCTAGTGACGTGAACAGGAACGTGGAACTAATATTTTATTCCTGTCGCATCACTAAAAATGATAAATAAAACTGATACTTTTATTATTATTACTTTAGAACACATATTGAGTGGAACCATTTCGCTTATGTTAATATCTAGTCACACATTTGTATCTGCGCTGATTGACCCCATTTTTTGCATGACTAATAGCTTCCTTCTGTTGATTTCACTATGAATATTTCTTACGAATACACTGCACCAAAGAATGAAATTCTTTTCACTGCTTACACGATTTTTCTAAACAATTGGCCCTCACCTCGTAATTTCACGATTAATTCACGAATTGCAATTAGTATTGCCATTTTGGGAGAAGTATTTCGTGTAATGACTTCTCTACTTATTTGCTAGCGAGAAACTAACTTGAATTTGCCTTTGAAGCATTCTCACAGCCTTGTTTGTAATCATTCTACGACCTTCTTAGACAGTCTACAGAGACTGTTTTGACCGTAATTTTGTTAAGTCTAATATTAAAATTAAAACCAAATTTAGTACAATCTTATAGTATACACAGACAATTGAAAATAATACATAAACGTTTTATTAATATTTGTTCCAATCATATTATGCAGGATTAAAATATTGGAAGTATAATGTACATAGACTTTTATAACCCACTGTATAGGTAAAAGCATCAGTTTAAGATTTTCTTTATCTAATCTATACTGCCACGAATGTTACGATAGGATTAGATATTGGAATGTTTAGGTAGATAAATATTAAAAAAACAAACTTTCGGAAAGTACAGAGGAATACAGGTGACAAGTTAACTCGTCCTTCTTGGTTAACAGCTTAATTGGAATGTAATAATGGTGTAATAAATCGTTTACCTTAAATCTGAGTTCTCCGACGGGAGGAGCTGCGAATGGTATTCCCCAAAATGCGATATAAGAAGGGCCTAGAACACTTTCAACAACGGTACCCCTCAATTTTCCCTGTTTGACTGTTACTATCGGCTCCTTCATCGATAACTAAGCTCTGTCCAACTTGTCGATGCACCACTTAACTCTACATAGGCAGTCAGCGCTTAATATACAGCTGATAATTATCGTAGACGTATTTAAATATCTTATACGGAAAAAAGATGTATGTAATCTCAAATGAACGACTGATGGGTGGGTCACTAACGGAATTGTTTAAATTTGAACGTGACTATACACACGGAGAGAATCACGTCTTCCGATGTATTATTCACACTAATCATAGATTCTATTAATCTTTGACACTTTATTTATCATAATGCGTTCTTATAAGCATTCAAATAGCTGGAAACATTACCATTGTAGAGGTTTTTAGGTATATGCGGTGTTTGGAAAATTTTCTAATAAAGCATAGCGATCAATATCAGTGTGACATTTGACCTTTGATGGAGCCAACTGGAATGGTTAGGAAACGTTTAGACACCGACGTCGTCTGTCCTTCAAGTACACATAATTTAACAAAAAAAAAAATACGCTTTTTACCAAAAAACCTTGACAATGATAATTACGTAATGCCAAGTCGTGAAAGCCTCAAATTACTGATAAAATTTACCGTGGTTTAAATAAATGCATTTAACAGTTCAGATTTCTTAAATATTCACAGAAACGTTAAATCCCATTGATTAGTTACATATAGCATATGTCCTAATATCTAAGGCATTGATGATTTGTATCACAAATTATTAAAAATGATTTCCTTCTTCAAAATACACTGTACACAATGATTTATATAGACTTTGAAAGTATCTCTGATACTCCTGCAAGTTAATGACCGACACTTTTGACTTATGAATCGTCAATGTACTAGGGATCGATTCTGAATCGATTCATAAGAACCGATTCTCTTCCAAAATCGAAATCAAAGTATCGATTTTGCAAGAACCGATCTTTTAACCGAAAGAATCGATCTGAATAATCGATTCGGAATCAAATACTCCTACAATTACATAACTTCCTGGCTTTGAAATGTGTAGTACAATTTGGTTATGAATTATGAGACGTTTTCACTGGATTAGGCTCTGTATAACTATTTTATCCTTCGCAAATTATAAACAAAGATACCTAATTGCAAGACAGTCGATAAGAATGATTTTTTTCTCGTATTTAAAACTCTGGCCAATGAAATCATTATAAATGTTATTGTACAGTAAATACCTTTTTTCACCTTTTAAAGATTCATACACATATATATATTTTCAATTTTCTTGTAAAATATATAATGAAAGACTGTTATTTGGTTGTATTTTTACGTTTATTTTGAAAGTAAATTTATTTAGAAATATTTTAGTTTGATGTTAACATCGCGATTTCAAATTGTTACGTTTTATTATTTCGCTATGTTAGATATAAAATATTTACAACTTGTCTATAAGCAATACACAGAGTATTATCTACGGTAACAATTTACAAACGTAACAAAATAATAATGTTTAGTTACTACTATTGTTTTTGACAGACCTTAATTTCATTATAAATACGATAAAAGACATACATTTTGAATTTATATTACAAACAATACACGAATACAAAAGAAGTAAAACCTACAAATGCCCAAAGGGTATATTACAATATTGCATTGATGTTTCATTTGAATACTTATTGTTCAGTTCACTTGTTATTTGAGAGATAACGAAAATCTTCAAATGGAGCTGAGAATGTGTGGTTCCACAGGTAATAACTGGGACTCCTCACCGATATCTAAGTACTGAAGCTTATCCTTTGACGCAGGTTCCCAGATGATTTTAATATAATCATCAAGGGATGGAGTAGGATTTCTACATCAGAAGTATTTACCATATATCACGGAAACCAATAAATTATAAGCTTTAACCATTTAAATTCCGAAAAAAAACTTACCCTGTTTTACCAACGTTGGTCCACAGTGTAGTTATACGTTCCGATATAGTTCTATCCTTTGTGCCTACTGCTGGTGGTTCTGGGTCACCAATTTTAGCAGGAGGCAGATAAAATAGATACGCCATTTCATCGACATGAGATGCTCCTAAAATACTTAATTATTCTTACTGCTGACTTTCAATTCATAATTAAAGTATAGGATAGAATAAAAACAGATTGTCAAATTTTGAATATTATGTAAACAAATTGGTAATGAATGAACATTATAGAAAACTTATTGTATATTTTATATTGATATATTCTATAAATGCATAAAATGCACAATCATGCATACAGTTCTAAGGAAAACTTAGATATTCTCTGAAAGTCTGTCGATTCACTTCTGTTACATTCTATATATGAGCCATTAATTTGCCACAGTGGTTAACTACACAAAAATGATCAAGGAAGTTTATTTTAAATATATCAAGTTAAGCGTCAACCAAGTGCTTTGGTATTAAAATTTGAAAGAATTCAAAAAATGGAGTTAGTCACTTCGACCTGTGAACAGTTCATATCACAATAATCGCTTTAAAGAATTAAAAAAACATAATTACCTTTAGTGACACGCTCGACCAAGAGATCCGTGTGTGTTTTTTGAGTACCAACATACGAGTACACGTAAAAGTAAGTGGGTGCGTTTGTTCTTTTCACTCGATCCTCTACATACAACTTCGCTGGAATACCAAAATAAATATCACCTATGAGACGTACGAGTCCATCTACTTTGTCTGTAGTGATCGATTGTCCATCAAAATACGAATCTCTAACGGTTTTCAGTAACGTTTCGGTATCTTCGGGACTCAATTTTTTTAACATTGCTAATTGTTTCACATGCGCCAGCAGATACGTATCGAAGTGCTTCATTGTTTTTTGAGATTTATCTGAGAAAAGAAATAAAATCATATAAATATGGCTAATAGGAATAATCAGAAAAATTTATTAATTAAAGCAGTAATCACCTTTAATGAACATAAGACTCTCGTGTGATGAATAACCAACGACAATTGGAATATTAACATCATTCATAAGTAACTCTTCTATCGGTAATGGCAAAACTGGATTATCAGCGATGTCATCAATGTTCAGTCCAAACGGAAGACAGAAACCGTTTGTCTCCTGAAAAAATAAAGAATGAATTTTGTAATCCATTCGTTACTCGTTTATACAGGTTCGGGTGTAATCTGTAGTAAAACCAAAAAAAGAGGCGATTCTACATACAAAACGAAAAGAAAAAAGTAGAATAAAAATTTTTCATACAAAATATCATTCAAGGTACAGTTCAGTGTTTGCGTAGCACCTTAGTTCATCTGAACGGGAATTGTGATTACTTATTTTTAATTTCATTCATACATTTGTATAAGAATCCATAAAATTGTAAATTTGCACAACCGCCCACAGACGATGTGTAAATAGCCTATATTTTGTGAATGATAAGTGATATCAATTATCTTCTTTCCAGATGTAGTTAGATAGATTCAGGTCTACAACTGTATTGTAAGGCATCTCACGATTACTAATCACTAGACTGCGGATATTTATGCATTTACTGCATCTCCTAATTTACACGCGCGTAGTAAAATAAAGATTTCAATAAAGTTTAATGCTGTTTAATAAAATAAAGACGCATGCTTGAAACCATTTACATCCTACTTAATCACTTTTTCTTACCTTCAATAGTAGCGGAAATAATTTAGATGCTCGATTTAAAATTAACACCCTGTATATTGGTATCTAAAATTTCGTATTTACATAAACTTCCGCAGTCTACTAATCCTATTCATGGGGAAACTTCTTGCCTCCTCTGTAAGAACGTTCGCTTGAGCCTTGACGATTTCCTTGACGTCGATAGTCCGTAGGTATTTAATGACCTCTTCGGGGTCATTGGAGTCTTTTCCAAGTATACCAGCGAGCCTAAAGCCACGTTCTGGCAGACTCTGGTTTATAGACCATGGGCACGTCAATAATCCACTTTGCAAGATCGCTTTGTGAAAAAGTCCTGCGAAAAACAATGATACCGCATATTTTCGAGATTCTTATCAGGCTCCGAAGTAATATTGTCTATCACTTCTCGACTACGTACAATGTGTGCCTGAGACGAATAACCAATAATGTTATCAATTAACAGGTTGGATGCGACAATTTTTATTCTTGGGACAATATCATAATAAGATACGTTTGTTTATGTTCTTGTTATTAACAGTATACGCATTGACTTGAACACTTTCATTATTACGCCTGGTACAACCGAGCAGGTGATTCTACATGTAAAAATAAATCAAGGAAAAAGAATAAAATTTTTTCCTTTCCAAGAAAATCGAGTTTAAAAATCAGGGTTCTTAGATGTATATTAACCCTCATCCGTCCCTCATTTTCCTAACTTAATTTGTCCCTCGGTATCAAGTTCACTTAAACCTCTACCAGCAGAGCTCTGATTGGTCAGGGTTTTTCAGAGAAAAAATATTTTTGCAGAGGAAAAACTCGTTCCAAATCGCCTCACGAGTGTCCCATTTCAGGGACCTGCAACGTTTTTGTTACACCCTGTATACATACATACCTTGCGCCCGTGGTGACATGGTTAACGCTTGAGACAACGCAGCTCCGGCGCTCCCGCCGAAAATTGTCACGTTGTTAGGATCCCCTCCGAAATTGGCTATATTCTCCTTGACCCACTCCAGAGCAGCAATGAGGTCTTTCAGACCCTGGTTGCCAGCCGCCGCCTTGTGACCCAGATTCAAAAAACCTTTCGACAATTCAACGAACACACGTTTATTATACAGAACGTAATCCGAATAAATACAATATTTCACGTATAAATATATACGATATTTCCCCAAGATCTTCGATAATTTATTAGGTGCACAATTCACTTATTGACTCAAAACCGAAAAGTAGTTTCGTCAACTGGCCCAGAAATATAATTTGTAGAAAGTGATGGGTAATATTTTCAAGACTAGGCTGTATTTTTTTCTCTAAATATAAACAACAAATTTATGGGAAGAAGGCCACGAATTACATTGTACTCCTAATAACAATTTCTACTCGCGTTTACTTTGCATTCGGTAAGTGTCCTGATTAAGGGGTGTGTAACAGGGGGACCAACCGAAAGCACCCAGTCTATAATTCGCCGAAACAACGACCACGTCTTTTGCCAGCAAGTAATCGGGTCGTTTGTCTTTGAAGCTTCCGGTTCCAGTTAAGAATGCACCACCATGAATCCAGAACATGACTGGTTTGCATTCGCTGAGAGAATTGGTGTAAACGTTCAGATAAAGACAGTCCTCCTCGCCGATCACATCGTGCGGCTTGACTTCTTTCATTTGCGGGCAACGTTTCTCGGTAGCTTTCCCGGTGTCCTTGATGTCCGTCCATGGAGCCGGCGGTTGAGGATCCTATATGCAGCATGAAGAAAGAAAATGTGACGAATCCTTTAGTCATATCCTGATATACTTGATCGTGAAACCGCAAAATCTGTTCGTACGTTCCAAGACGTTAAAACGCGGAGATCGTGTGAATAATGATAGGGGAGACCGGGGCAGATTGTAACAAAAAAAGTTTTCACAATATTTTCTCGAAAGTGTTTTCCTCAATCAGGAAATAATTTGCGTGAATTGCTGCTCACATCTTTGGTCAACTCATTGAGTGTAAATATGTAACAAAATCTTTGATACTTAGACATCTATGTTCATCTTAAACAAATTTGAACGTTTGTTACAATGTGCCCCAACCTGGGGTAAATTGTAACACGTCTGGTTTATTTAGTTAAACGCAAATATGAATACAAATAAACATATAAATGAAAATGCATATCATTATTAAGCATTTGATATACATGGATTAAACAATCATAGCTTATTCACTGACAGATACAAGGAATATTTCTGTCAGTGCAGTTTTCATATCTTCTTTAGAAATAGAACCTTTTCTTGTTTGTTCTCATCCTAAAAGTAACTAATATTTCAGCAAATAGCAAGTTTGCTTTATTACCATTTAGAGCAGGGTAAGTAGTAATGTTACATTTTGCCCCAAAGCAATTTGTTACAAATTACCCCAAGCTTGAATTTGTCAGCTCTGTCTCAGCAAACGAGAAACTAAACATTAAATTACTGGAATGCGTACATATTATAATAAACCAATGTGCAATGATTCGTTTGCGACAAAGAAGCAAAAATTCAAACGGTTTCACATGGTGGTTAATTGAAATAAAAGTGCTTGTACAATATTTACTTACGTGCTCCAAATAATAAAAATCTAATCTGTAGCTACAAAACAGACACTTGATGATCGATTGTTGCAATGAAACCGACGATATCAATATTTTCAAACCGCTCTGGCATCCTGCTGCATTGCCAAATTTGTCGTTCAGAAAATTTTAACTATGTTACAACTTACCCCGTGTTACAACCTGCCCCGGTCACCCCTATTGTAATAATTTTTAATCAAAAATTTTTCACAGTTCGTTAGATGCTATGAGTCTCGGGGATAACAGAATGTGATAGGTCCGGTCGACCTGGCAGGTCTATTACCTTGAATCTGAGTTCGCCGATCGGAGGAGCGGCAAAAGGTATCTCATGAAAAGCGATGAAAGAAGAACCAAGAACACTTTTCTGTATACCACCCCGTAATTTACCTTGCTTTACAGTAACTACCGGTTCGTTCATTGTTGACCAGGCTTTCGTCAGGGCGACAACGCTCCACTGAGCTCTACAGAGAGATTGGGTGCTTGACGTTAATTGTTTTCGTACCACAATCATGTTTACATATCCTATCAATGATTTAGTATCAAAAGGTTACGTTAGAATTGTAACGTTTGCAAACGAAGCAATTTCAGAGACGTACACGGTCGAACGCGGTATTAACACTACGAATTTGTCGAACGTATTAAGAGCTGCATTATTTACGACCGGTTCCGCGTGAGTCATTTAAATTCATTCATGTTTCAACATTGGTGTGTAACGTTGAGATTAGATTGAAAAGTGTTATCGGTAGAACGCCTGCAAGATAAAGTACTACGCATTATTGTATTACTTGTTTTCGTTTTCAACCTCAAATTGTTGCGTCAGTATTTTACAGTTAGGTACATGTCGAAGCAACACCACGATCACTAATGCTTTTGCTTCGATTGACTTGATCAGACTGACTGTGCTCAAGCCTTAAACCGTAGAAATCAAAGAAAGTTTGTACAAGTGGGAGTAATCAGCCCACACCGGAAATATTGATGCGTAATCATTAATATGTATTCGGAACATAAAACACTCTGAAGTAAAAATATTGAGCAGGTATTAATAAATTTGATACTTTATTTATAACTAAATAAATCCATTAACTAGTGAAACATATTTTTCCTTTAATTCTCGCTTTTGTAATATGCACAGTGTGTTCCGTTTCTCTGAGACCACTCAGATATCTAAAAAAATATGGACAATGCAAAAAACTATTTCAGGCAAATATTGTATATGAAGAGGAACATACTTTTGGCTATTTGATCTTGCGATGACCTTGAAATATCGTGAAGGTCATATTAAACTTTTTTTTTTTAATGAGAACTGCATTTTGTACTACATACTTTTTGTAGGTAACATTGAAACGTTTTCAAAACACTGCTTACGTATGTATTTTGCATAAGCCAATTTAGAGATATAAAACGACAAGCTTACTATGCCGGCGACATTAAATATGGAAAGTCAGACCGAGCAAGGTCCTCGCAATCTGGTGTGCAAATGCTTCCAGACAGATAGAGTCTTTACACTATTTTTCAAAAGTAATATCTAAAACAATATTAACTAATATTGGATATATGAACACGGCAAGTAAAAGAAAACAGTACCACAAATAAATACACACTTGTACCCAATACTAGTTAAACTTCTTTCACATAACGCTTATAGAAAATAAAATTAAAAATCTATCTATTCGGAAGATTTTGCACGCCACTGTACATCGAGTAATGCTAATGCCGGCGGCACGGCAACATTATCATTTCATGTATCGACATTCCTTATGCAAAATACATACGTAAGTAGATTTCTTGATTTTCAATACGGAATTCTATATGACATACCCCATTTTGGCATTGTTCGTTTACACTCTAGTCAATCGATCCATTTCAAGTTTGCTTTTTCTACTTTCCCTGTACTCAAAGTGGTACTCAATTGGCGTATACAATATTTATACATACATAACTCAGAGCTGTGCAACTGACTGCTCACGAGCAACAGCACCTTGAACTGCTCGATTTACTTACCCCCGCTATGATCCTCAGATTAACTTACTCGACTATTCCCACCAATAATCTTCCCACTACGACTCGAGCGAGACAATCGAAGGACCATAGTGGGGATAACTCGGGAGGGGAAGTTCGAACCACTGGTGCTCGTGACTCGTGAGTAGCGTTGCCGCAAAAACTCCCTGAGTGAATACATGACGTCACATTACCTCCACTGGTATCTACGTCACTTGCCTTCACCAGCGAGTGAAGCAGCACATACAGCTATACTATTTTCGCCCACTACCATCCGACTTTTTTCCCAAACTCCCTGGACCTGGTAACGCTGTTTATTCGCGATCAGTTGCGCAGGTATGTCATAAATAACTCACAGTTAAGGGTGCGCGGGTACCCTCAACACCTAGGAAAACCAATTGAGATATGTTTAAAAAGTTAAATTTAATATTGTTTTTAAAACAACGTGAGTATAATCGGTATACATATACATACATATATTTATATATATATATTATAAATATTACAAAAAAATAGACTTGTCATTGTATACAAATATAAAATCATGAAAGTTTTTAGAGGCATATTGTTTCTTTATACATATGCTATTGTATAAAAAATATAATTCTGTTATTTTAGTAGAGGCACTGTGCTGAACGTTTGTAGCAGTTTAGTAGATTTCGTCTAATTAAGTCCATTATGTTTCTTCGGGAATGACGTATTTTTTTAAATCATACTTCAGTTAAAACGGAAGAATAAAATATTGCACTGAAAATTAACGTTTCATTTTGTCTAGTATCGGAACAACCATCTCAAAAGATGGACGTTTTCCTGGATCTTCGTTCATACAAATTCTAATAAGTTTAGCAAGGTGTGGTGAGATTCCTGGTGGTATACTAACACGCAGATCCTCCAGTGCAATCTACAGCAAATATACAAAAACATTATATTTAAAAATTGAAAACTGACGTTAAATTTGAATTAAAATTTCGAAACTAACTTTCATGCCACACTCCATCGGAGAAAGATCAGCAAACGGAACTTCTCTAGTTGCAAGTTCCCACAACAGAACAGCGAAGCTCCACATATCACTGGCTTCCAGATTTATGTCGGCTGGACGCTTGCTCAAGGCTTCAGGTGACATCCACGCTGGTTCGTAAATTCGTCCGACTTCTTGGAATGAGAATTTCGAGTCTGCCATGTTAACGCGAGCTGTCAAATCTTCATCGATCTGTAATATCAAATGCATTCATTGTAAAAACATTGAACGAATCACGATATTGCATTAAGTTGATCGATTAATGTATTTCAATTTAAAAAAGAAGAATACCATGATGTGTTTACTATTCAAATGAAATCTGCATCTGTTTTGTCTCTCAAGTCCGTGAAGAAATGCCATAGCTCTTGCAACGTCTAGAGCAAGTCTCAACGCTCGTGCCGTATCAACAACGACGCCCGTACCTCCATGTAACAAACGGTGTAAACTGCCACGAGCCATATACTGTGATACGGTTGCTAATTGTGGTGGTTGATTAACACAACCAAGAACAGGTAATACGTTCGGATGTGAGAAAATTCTCAATTTAGGAAACTCTTCATTGAAATCTCTGGAAATCCTCGATGTACACTCGCGTATATTTAAAATCTTTGCTACTATATCATTATTTTGCCAACGTCCTCGCCAAGTTTCACCACTTGGTGTACTTGCCAAATGAGTATGTAAGGATAAATCTGCCATATTGATTCCTTTATGCCTCGACAGTGTTGCATCTCCTATATAAAATAATTCAGAATATGTTAGTATCCCAATAACTGATACTCTGTGATCTATGCAATATAAGATTACTCACGGCTTCTAGTTTTCAAACCTAACCAGCTCTGATCCTTGAATTGAATCTTTTTCAAATCCTGCCCATATTCTACAGCCAAATCTAGAAATACATAATTATGTGATATAGTAGTTTAGAGAAACATGCACCATGGAATTGTTATTCATTCCTTACGTACCGTGTAATCTTTTCGCGAGTAGACCTCTTGCTTTATCCAAAGGAGTATCACCATCTTTATTTGCGATAGACACAAGAGCACCTGCTGTCACCAATTCTTCAGCAACAGCCTGGTCACCCCAGAAACATGCGTAGTGAAGTGCAGTGTTACCATGCTCATTTGTCACATTAAAATCTGCTCGATTTCTAAGCAACTACAAATTTAGAACCAATTAAATTCTTTATGAGCATGATTTTGCTTATTATACAAAACAAGGTGTCAGATCTGCCCTTAAGTAGTATTTCAAATATAATAATTGCATTTCTTTTACCAGCTGAACTATCTCTTTATGTCCATGAGCAGAAGCAAGATGAAGAGGAGTATCATCTCCTCTATTGGTAGCATTAATTCTTGCTCCTCTACTAACTAGTAACTCAGCCAATTTTAAATGTCCCTCTTTGCAGCACCAATGAAGTGGACTGAATCCATGATCATCGCTACATATAAAATATACAACAATATACTTTTCATTGTTTCCAGTTAAGTAAATGATAAACATTACAAATATTCAAGCAAAGGGATAAAACAAGATATAAAAATAAGAATGGAGCTATTATAAATAGAATAATCATAACTTTAAAAAAACATTAAATAAACTCCAAATCTGCAAGATTAAACAATTCTGAAGAAGGTGTTTTTTTGTAGTTACCCTTGATTCATGTCATGTTCAGTGTCATCCAACCAAACACGCACTTGCATGGCATTCCCCTCGCGGCACCATTGAAAAATATCTTCCATTTTCTCAAAGTTATTAAGTAAACCGAGAAAAATGTTTAAATACTGTAGCGGGGGAGTGGCTGTGTTCCGTGCTTCACAACACTGGTCGTCATATACTAAATATAACCATATTTCCGCGCAAGCGACACTGACACAAAAACTACATAACTTCTATGAGACTTCACAAACAGTGATACATCATTAAAAATCTTGCACTGACTAGACATTTAAAAGTAAAAGCGATTCGAAATCTTTATAATATCGATAAATATTTAATTTAACACTTCATAATACTACACGCGCGTATAACTGTACGTGTGACCATATATGACGCGTGGAATCGCAAACTACCGCAACGACCGCAACCAGGAGACGGTTACTTCATCATACTCCCCACATATGTACTTCCATAAAAAATTAATGTGAGACAGTAGTAATTCGTCAGAAACGCATCGCCAGAGGGCTACAAACTACCATTAATTCTTACAGACTGTACTGAAAAATATAATTTAAATAAAGAAGTTGTTACTTTACAACATTCTTTCATCATGATATACTTACATGGAACATAAATAAATGGTCCTAATGGGTCGAACAAATAGATCTTACACAGAATATAAATTTTGTTCTCTGTTCTTTCGCTTTTGTTCATAAACTTGCTTAATTTCCAAATACCAAGATAAGAATATCGTTCGTGAACTGCTTATAAATAGCAATAAGTATCAATCTGTATCAATCCACTGCGATTAAAAGGCGCTAATAAGGTTCTTATCAGAAAATTTGAATATTCGGAGGATATCTATTAAAAATTATAGGTTTTACAATGAAATTGTAATGAGTTAATAGATCTTACGTAATCTGTACATTCATCTTGTCATAATAATATAAATTCAAAATTATGTGTACTTTGAATAATGATCGAAACTGTTACTTCAAGAGGGCGAGCTGGGGAGAGCCTTGGAGAGCCCAAGAGAGCCCTCTGACGGCCTATTAGATGTGTATACATTTTTTCCGCAATTCTGTTTATTATCACAACAAATGTGACAAATATAAATAACAAAGTAATTGACACAACTCTGTGCTGTGTACTAATTCAGATATAAGTGTATTTATGTACCCTTGACGTTATACATTCCCGGCACTTCCGAAGTGTTTTGGTTATGTGTCTAATCACAATATTTTTGTGAGCTGTATTATGCGATAGGTGCACAGTTTTTTATGATTGAATGGGACTAATACTTTAATGACTATAAAAATGGAGCAGCTGCAGACTGCATTGATTGCAATTAAAGTATTACGTTCTAGTGTTGGTCAAGTTTTTGATTCTCTTGGAAATGGTCTACGAGCTGACCATGGAGAAGAAAATAAAGAAAATAAATATTTACTTGAACTGCAAGAACTTTTAACAACTGTCAGTGTTAATTTAAGGTATGGTTGTTATTTCATATACATGCGTCTGTTATGGAAGTATAATATATAAAATATTTTATCATTTTTAGAGATGTTGAACAAGCTGTAAGTAGTTTAAATCCACCACCTGGACCATTTAATTTAGCAAGTACTGCGTATCTCAGTCAAGAGACAACACAAGAAAGACAAGCACTATATAGTACACTTGTTAATAGTTACAAATGGACTGATAAAGTCCACGAATATAGTAATGTTGCTCAAACATTATTTAGTCAAAACTCATTGAAGAGATCTTACATTAATTCTAGTAGAGCAAAAAGAGGCAGAGTTCAAACAAGTAACCATAATGTTCCTCAACAGTAGGTTGAATTATTTTATTAATTGAATATGTAAAGTATTCATATAATTTTGGTATATTGTGGGTCACGTATGTTTTATCTCATGTTTAGACAAGTGGATTCAATGATAGGCACATTTGATAGGCTTTTCAATGACATGACAGTATCTGTATCACGGCCATTTGCATCAAATGCAGTTTTACATGTTACACTAGGACATGTTTTAAAAGGTGTTATAGCATTTAAGGGCCTAATGATTGAGTGGGTAGTGGTTAAAGGTTATGGGGAAGCTATGGATCTGTGGACAGAATCAAGACACAAAGTTTTTAGAAAAGTAACTGAAAATGCCCATGCTGCTATGTTACACTTTTATTCACCAGCTCTGCCTGAATTAGCTGTCCGATCATTTATGGTAACTGAATAGAAAACATTATGAACTATAAGATCTCATTATTCCATGTAACTGATAATCTCTGTTGTTTTTACAGACTTGGTTTCATAGCTTAAATAATTTATTTAGTGACCCCTGCAAACGTTGTGGCTTGCACCTACACAGTGCTTTACCTCCAACGTGGAGAGATTTTCGAACACTAGAACCCTATCATCAAGAATGTAAACCATAATAATTTCTACTAGAACTTTGTGGCACAAAAAGAAAGACGTATGTAACATACGATTGTTCCTTTACAGAATATATTAAAGTCTATATTTATTATATAATACACTTTCAATAAATAAATGAATGAAAAAATTGATACATGTATTTTCTGTCTAGAAAAGTAATCAGTTACAAACACACATTTTACTTAGTAAATATTTTTATTTATAGATTTAAAAGATGTCATGTATGATTTTTCCACTTAAATTTTACTGTTCAGCTTAAATACATTAATCATAAGTAATTAAAATATTATAAACAATTGCTACGCATATATACAATTGCAAATAAAACCATGTTACAATATTACAGGTTCACATATCCTTGCGTCAATGTAAATTCAAAATTATTTTATTGTATATACTGGAAATTATTAAAAAGTTTCTCCAGATAATATAACACTTTTAAAAAGGTCAAGATAGTTATATTATGTTCACTGACATTTGCATTAAATTAACTTCTCGAATGAAATAAATATGATTACGATTTGTCAGTTACATACCAATTCAACTTACATAAGAAATTAATGTTAAATCGTTATAACAGTAATGTAAACTTACAACAGAAACAATGAACAATTATATACCGTGTCTGTAAAATAAGTAGCAACAAAAGAAAAGTAGAGATAGGACAATTAGAAGTTAGCATCTTTCTTGCCAGAGAAACACTTATTTTCGTGCTAAGATTTACGTATAATATACAAATGAGCAGGCATAAACTTTTCTTGTTTTGGAATGTAATAACTCTGCAATCAATGGTTTTGTTTCCTTTTTATCTGTACCCTACGTCTGTATACCATTCTTAGATATTATTACATGCTATTTAGTTTTACGTAACTCTAAATAATATTATGTGTAAATATAATTACGATATAAGTTTTTTTCACATAACTGTACACATTCACATTTGGAATATCGGCACTCCTCAAAAGAGCGCAAGTCGTTTGAGTGGCAGTGAACTTATTTTACAAATCGTTATTGTAATCACTTCGCTGGACTGTCCCAAATTCTTGTTCGTCATTATTTTTGTTCTTTTTTTTTGCTTTGTTTTCTTTTAAGGCTCTATAAACGTTGCAATACTGGGTGAATTTTAATATCATATCATTGACTCGAAACTATGTATGCAATCATTACTGATTTTCTTTATCAAAGTCGTGGTGAGTGTGCGGAATAGATCCTCGCATAAGAGGATATACATTATATATGTATATTGTATATATGTTAATATATGCATAATAGTACAGTTTTAGAAACGAGTTCACTAATCGTATCGTTACGTATGTGTATGAATTATAGCGAAATTAAATCTCTTTTTTTCTCTTTGGTATGGAAAAAGTATTTTCTCGATAGTACTTTGAACACCTACACGTTACTTTAGACTTTAGACCTTTGAAAACAGGAGAAACGTTTCGTGCCGTTTTACAGACTTCGTATGCGTATGCGGCGTAACTGCATTTCATTAGAATATTTATCTAACCACGCTAACTGTAATTATAATCCTGGCGAAGGTAGAAAAATCGTTTATAGATTATTTTTCTCTTTTAGGTGTAGAACATGTCGTTTTCTCGGAGAGTTTCAGTAAACGTATATCACAGCATGCCTTTTCTCAACGGGTCGATAGCTCGGAAAAGAACAATAATATTTAGACTCGACAACGCAGTTGTATCACGAATTCGCGTCTCACAGTTTCGAGTAATTTCTATCGGGTAAGTACATCGTAATTGAAAGAATGAAAGAAATATGAAAAGTAAATGACATATAAGTATCTTAAAATATCTTTTATAGCGCGGTACCAGGTGTCTTTTGAATTCGCCGGTCCGAGATACATATTTAGTTTGAGTCGGAGAGATTGCAACTACGATCGTGTGTTTGTTTATTGTGTCGTCTCGAGTTTTCAAGATTGTAATTGATTTAGAAAATGGATATGCTACAAGTACTCGGTCCGCGTTTATTGTATCGCTGTTACGAGTGAGAGAGACGCGCAAGTTCGTCCCCGTTCAACATACGTGTACGATATTAGCGAAGTTTGCGATTTTCTTTACCATTAGCCTGTTACATCGTGCTACTATAAACTAGTAGCTATGTATGCATTCATATATCTAGTCTTAGTATCAATAATCAATAGTTGGAATTCTGATAATACCTATAATGCAAGAAAATCTACGTTAGCATAATTTCAGTTCCATAGCGTTTATTGCCTTTTTCACTGATTCTGTATGACTTGGACAGCTTATAATTAACGAGTGTTCTATCATGTTCCTTTCATTTCTTTCACTTTTTCGTTAAATTGACGCATATGATATAATGCATATGACGTGTGTCCCTTACTTTCTCGTTCTATTCTACATATTCATATTGCGATTACACCGCAGTACTTCACTTCTCAGACAGCACAGACACGTCTTATGAACGTCTTAAAGAAATCTATTAAAGACATTCAACATATCTTAAAGATGTCAGATAATGTCGTGTAAACGTCTTCTGATCGTCGTATGTTACAAAACTTATCTTTAAGACGTCTTACTTAGGTCGTATTTTGACAGTTTATACAGTTCTTTATATTTTAAGGAATCTATTAAAACTCTGGCAATTAGTACTGCATGTGACTTTTTGGAAAAGAAATTGCTTTTTCCTCGATGAATGTCTCCTGTGTCTTGGGACTAAAACGTTACGACACCGATGAAATGGATTTTATGACCCTCTACCCTGTACCCCCGTAGGGTACAGAATACTCATCTATTTTGACATACCAAAAAAATAGTTGTACAAATTATGTATACACGTTATACATAAAGAAATTATAAAAAACAATTATCCATAGTTGTAACGTCGTTTGAATGTATTTTACAAGACGTTTTTTAAGACGTAATTTGTAACGTCCTCTGAACGTCCTCCGCTGAACGTGTTTATGACGTCCAGATGAGATAGTCAGACGTTCAGACGTACAATGGATGTAAAATAGACGTCTGACGTTGTGTACTGTCTGGGTTAGCGGAACGGTCTGAAAGTATTTAGTTTTATTCAATACAAGCTAATGCGAGAGAGGTTTACTCGTCAGTATTGGTAGATTTCGCTAGATCGTGTTACGTTAATTTCGAAAAAAATTAGAAACTTTTCAAAGTGCCTAAAAATCTGCAGTGTTAACCGCTTAACATAAATTGTACATATATTTTTTCTTCCAATTGATAGTAGGTGCAAGAAAAGAAAAACAACATGAAACGATTTATATAACGGTTTAAATTTTGTCTAATTAACCCTAGATTACTAAACTATTATAAAAATTACGACTTTGAATTCGCGATTCTCAGAAATCGGCACGTTGCTGTTAATGTTGTTAACGTGTGTGCAAATTGTGCTGAATAATTACTGTCCTAATTTTTCATTATTTTTAAGTATGGCTATCATAAACACTTATAACGTAGGTTTCTATCTCGAGAAAAATAATATTTTTCTAAAATCTTACGTGTTTCCTTCCTGTCGTAATTTTTACGAATAATTAATAATAACGTGAGTCATAGAATAGTTTAGTAATCCATGGTTGAAAACCATACTTTTCTGTTGCGTTTTATAGAATCTGCTTCGTAATATTGGTAATAAATACTTCGAAGTACGTCAATTCAAAAGGTATTTCGTTCACCAGTTTGTAGAGGTCGCTTCAGACAGCGTGCAGTGCTTCCGGTCAATGGCCGCCTCAGTTCGAGTAATACGGTCAGTTGAAACTGTTTCAGTGTCGAAATAGGTAATATCGCTCGAACGACATATTCGATATTCGTGTAACTCTATCTTAATTGGGAATCGGGTATACTATATCGAATAGTATAGGATTATCATACACTTGCTTATGCAACGACGAGGGTAAGTACGATAGAAGTATACAGTATATACATATATATATACATATAAGGGAAGTTTTCCCAAAGAGCTTGCGTAACATCAAATGACGTGCATTTTGGTGTAAAACATTAACGACAAAATGTAGTAAGAAAAGGCATGCCTCTGAATGTGCAGGGTGCTGTCGAATCGATTGTTCAATCGAACGGATATACAATAGTAGAACCGACGTTCAAAATTTCTTAAATGAAAATCAATCCGCAATTAGTCTTTCCCGTTATCCGCGTATTAATTGTAATTTTAACTCGCTATATGTTCGTATAAAGTTTGGAAAATGTCATCCGTTTAAGTGTGTCTCATTGAAGCCAGTGACAGTTAAAGTTCATTCGCGCATGCGCTCAATTTGAAACTGAACGTAACCGTCGACACCCGCTCGTTTGCACTCCAGTGACTCCGTGCCATTAGAAGATAAAACGATCTGTCAGTGTATAAATCTTGTTATTAAGAGGCACCTATGAGAACGACGTTAAACAGCGCAAGTAAGTAACGCACTGACACTTCGAGTGTCGAAAAGATAGTCCGAGTGAACTTTGGTTAATAGCAAATTCTTCAACTTTTGACGTTACTTGTGCGGCTGATTTCACCCCGAATTCACTTTCTCAATTAACGCATCAACAGATAATCATTAATACAGTGCAATCAGTTGTAAAGACGAGAGTGATACAAAATGACATATAATTCCAATAAATTTTATGAAATGAACGATATAAAAGTGAAGTATATAGATGTACGCCTTTCCCTTTTCTTCTGGGGTTTCGTTAAACGACTCGTCACATCTAGCAATTATACGTTCTATGTATATACTTCGACATCGCACGAAGTTCAATTACTTGTCATAACGATCACGATTCGACTCCTTACACGTTTCATAAGAACGTAAATGTTTAGGCACAATCACTTTCGGAAACATATCGTTAGACATTTTTCTTCTCCCCGAGGGCCTCTGTTGCCTCGTGGTCTACCTATCTCCACCCCTCGTTCGACGCGAAACAGGGGCTAACTTTTCATGGGCCAATTTCTACGCATACTCTCACAATATTCGTTTAGAGAGTATTTCGCGTTACTTTCAAGATCCGTGAGACGAAGAATATTTAGATCATGCGTCGGACTACTTATCCGCGAACCCAATCGAGTTTGGCCGCGTCGATACGTTTGCGATCGACTTCATTGGATCAGCGTTTAGATACGATCAACGGGTGATCTTGGTCAGCTTCCTTGTTCCTTTGACTCAGGCACGATTGTACGACACGTTACTCTCAAAATCCTCCGTGACACTCCAGCCGATGGTGGTCACGTTCGTTGCTCGACGGAAACTATTCCGCAGGAAAGCCGCGCAGGCCTTGCCCCTCTCCGTGATGATCTCGTACAGTTGATTCTCCAAAGTGAGGCTGCTTGTGGTGAACAATAGCGGCAGTGGGATTGACGCGTTCATGATCACTAGATTACCGATATTAAGAGGAGCTGTTTCCCATTGTCAGACACCGCTGTTCGGAAAGCGTGGCGGGGGAAGCGGGGGCGGTGGTCTCTCCGGCTGAGCGGGTGCGGCGGAAGATCGCTCTGATCCAGCTGCAAACACAACTGTTCACCAAGATTAATCCGATGTACGTTCTCCGTTTTATTAGCGTGTTTTTAAAAAATTTTTTTTTGTTACACTACTGTCACATTCATCTACCAGACCGTATTCAATTTAAAAAACGACAAACAGCAAGCCTCTACGATTCTTGTAGAAAGAAATTGTTATAGAGATTATCGGATGTTGCTTTATTAGCATTATATGTCCCTTCGAGTATTGATATGTTCAGGCATTAATTACTCTTCTTAATCAGGTAGTAATCGCAGGTTGTATGAAAATCAAGATGAAATGATCGTTGTACTGAAAGTAAAATACAAAATCATTACATTTCTCTATAAATATAAATGAAATATATGGTTTTCTTTTGTTTTCTTTGAAATAAATATTAAAAATGATATCTATATATAGAGTTTATACTTTATGCTTGAGTTAATAAATTTAATATATGTTGTTAATGTCTTCCTTCTGATTATGCTTATTCTGATGCTTTTGAGTTTACAAGTCGACTATAAAAAATCTTCCCTCAATACTCTTAGAAGTAAACGTAATGAATATAAATGTTTGCCTCCATTGCCCTGAAAACATAATACAAGTGTAATTTATTATTAAAAAATTAGCAAAAAATAATTTCATTATCCATGAATTAGTGTTTCCTGCATTCTGACTTTTAAATTGCTAAAAGTTTTCAAAGAAACACCTGAAAACATGAAAATATTAATTCCGTAACTTTATGATTATGTATATTCGAGTGATGTGCATATGAATATTAATGTGAGTACGGGGGGTACATCGGATGTACCTATTAGATATTTTTGTGTTAATGAAAACAACATGATTTATTCAAAAAGCTTGAACATTAGATGCGTGTATGTCGATTATTCTAATTAAACTGACGAGGTGCTGATCAGTGGAGAAATTTTTCCCTTCATTGTATCTTCTTTTGTGTTTTATATTATAAAGAGTAAGCTTACGGATACGAAAATTTTGAAATAAAAATGCAAGAGATTGATTATTACTATATGGATTTTCTTTTAATCTAAACAAAGTAAAATACATTCATGCGCACATGCCCATTATACCATTCATGCTCCAACTGCTGTAGTATTGAAGTCGGTTTTACAGTTTTATATAAAAAATAATAATAATGCGATATCATTGGTTTTAAAATCTTGGTAAGCTTGATACTCGTACAACACCTCAATTTTTGTTAGGTATGTTTATATATGTTTGCAAATTGATCTGTACGGACCATATTTGCGGTGGTGCAAAATCCATAATGGCCTACCTCCATTTAAACTACTACAAAGGCCAGTGTTAATAGCACATAGTATATATTTTTAGAATGGAAATGAAGCCAATATATTTAACAATTTCGTATATAAGAATACTTAAAATTCTCTAATCAGATATACAACAGGATGACAGATTATCATACTGCACACAGATGATAGAAGAGAGACGAATTATGCACATACAGTTGGTAAACAAGATAAAGTAAACTCATAAACTTGACACCATAAAGGCCGACTCTAGCCATACACATTATCCATTTTTACAGTGAAACTGGTCAAAACTAACATTTGAGTTAAGATACTTTCTACAGCTTTGAGCTAACTCTGAAGTGTTTACTTCTGAAATATCTGCAAACAGGGACAACTTTAGTTGTGAAAAACACTTCTGTACTCACCCAAAAACTTTTATGTGTTTGCTGTATTTTGTTTGCCAATTGTATATGTGTATGTATATCGATTATAGAGCTTATAATACTGAAAGTATCTTGAGCTACAGTTAAAAAAAAAAGGTTCCAATAACATTAGTGTGTAACTATTTCTATTTATGATAAAACTCCATGTATTTACACTTACTATTATGTATGTTCACATGTACTGTAACATTGTCAGAAATATAAGCTCTAGATGGAAACGAAATTACTTCAACTATGTTCAATTTTTAATCAACTGTGTGATGTGAGTGTTTTGCTGAAGCAATGTGAATTGTGGAAAACCACAATAAAGCTATGACCGATACATGAAATGCAAACAGTTACTTAAAGTGGAAAGAAATTTGCGAGTAATTAACGTGTCTCATTAATGATCATACAGTTCCAACTTCTTCCTGGAAAAAGAACATCAGACAAGAACATTACGCTCCTACTAAATTCCTTACCACAGAACAATGAAAGATGAATAAACAACTAGAAACGAAGGATCAGAAAATGAATATTTACAGGAATATTGATGTAACGTAATGTCTCAAACTTTAACATTTCAGTTATAGTACAGTTTTATGAGTCGATAGTGTCATGGATAAGTGGCTTCTTGTCATTTACACATACTCCTAATTATTTGCTATTGTCAACAGAAAAATATAGATAGTGTGATATTGTTCTCTGCTAGGATCACTTGTATGTCTTGTAGTAGCGAAGCAGCAATGTAATTTTTGTTTTTTTTCATAGAATCAGCACTTTGATTCCTCTGCACTTTTGAATCATACTGAAAGCAGAAAAATAATAGTCGCAAATAAATGTAAAAAGAATGTATCACAATGATACTACAAATTAACAAAATTTACGAACACACATAGATGGCATTATGACATGCACAATGACTGGTAGATAGAATAAGCGACAAGTGACAAACAATTCTTTTATCCGCAAATATCAATATAATTTTTCTTTAAAGAATAATATCTGTTTCACAATCTATCGATTACTATGTAATACACATGTACTATCTTCTCCTCTAAACACTAGAAATTACTTGAGAAATAATTGTTACTGGACAATTTTTATTAGATTACTTGTTAAGTGAGAAATTTGTTCTCACTTGTTAATATTTAGATGCAAGTCGAAAGAATTGTTTGTATTATAAAGACGGATATGGCAATGGTAATAGATGACCGCGGGCGATTTTGGTGAGGTTGTTAAGCCTTACATGAATCAGGATGTGGCTTCTCCTCGGCCACCATCAGGGCTGCACTCTCTGCTGGCGGTATGGCCTCTAATGCATTCACACAGTTTAGCATGCTCCTGCAAAACATCACGCGACTTGTCCAAGTTTCCGCTTCTTCATACATGTCTATTGAATCTTTCCTTCTCTTATTACATTCCAGATCTTCGTCGAGGGCATCGATTCAACATGCACCGACGTCGTAGGACCATGAGAAAACAGTACCGCGCGGCGTATCAACAACTCGTCAACGTAAGTTACATATCCGGCGTTTTTTTTTTTATTTTATCCTAATTGACCTGGATTTGAATTTGAAAATTTTAAAGGTTTATGATGTAGAGCCCGTTAAAAATACACTACGATAAGTTGTTCTTTGTTTTACGATACATCCATTAACGCCCATTAGTAAAGCTACCATTAGTCGAACTTTAATGTTTTCAGCCTATTTAATTTGTTTACTTCGTTCGTAATCATTGTCTCATCAGATCTTAATTAATCGTGTCTATCCCGAACCTGTACGTGGATCATTCCCAAGAAATGATTATTCATTTCACAGTTTCTAGCATTTGTTGGATTACAGTGGTTCACTGGCCTGTGTAGTAGACTTGAGACATAGTATCTTAACGCCTAATACGATAAATTCATCGTAATACATTTCTGTTCGCATTTCGGAAATTCGTCTCTAAACGGGAGTCCACCGACTCGGTTTTGCAACTCGTTCGAACGCAAAAAGAAGTAGTGTCACCGAACGCGATAATTCTCAATCTCCGGCTGGTATACTCCTAATTCACTTTCTCCTGCAAGGTGAATCAGAATTTAGGTCAAAAGCTTGACCGATAATTGAAACAAAAAAAGGAAAAAAACATTAAAAAATAAAGGAAGGAACAGAATTTCGCGTCGAGGTCGTATGAATAAGTGGAAGTGAACTGAACTGGCAATTAAATAAACAAACAGATTTATTTTACAACATATAATATATATATGTATATATATGTATGTATATGATCTTATCGGTGATGCCGAAATATTCGTTCGTTAATATAATAATACTAGTTAACGAGTGTTCTAGAAATTGAGTCGTAAACGCGTAATCAGTGATTACAATTATTCCTTATAACTGTTTCTCCGCTACGTGTTAATGCTATATCGTTGCCGATAACAATTATTTCGATTAGATTGACTGGAATTACGAGAACTCTATTTTGGGTATAGTTTTCATTCGTTTCGTTTCTTTTTTTGTCTCTCTCTCGCTCTCTCTCTCTCTCTCTCTCTCTCTCTCTCTCTCTCAGTGAATGACATTCGACTTTACTAGGATTGATTGGAATCGTTCTGAAGTTATTATATAGTTTTTTATTTTATGGTTTGTCAGTAGCGTGGGTATGGTTGGCAGTGGTGGCGTCAGATAGGACGGTCTCCTTGCTAGAGTTAGTGGCGAGCTCCTCTTCCCTGCAATATAATAATGTTACATGGCCATCGAGCCTCGAATCGTTTGGTTTCGATTTTTTTTTTTTGTTTTGTTTTGAGAGAAATCCTAGTTTTACGTGGTCGTGTAAGTAAAGCTTTTACTATAAGGAAAACGTTACATAATGCATCCTACATCGAGAATAAAAAAGGGCTGCTTAAAATGACCCAACTACGTCCACTTTTGGAATTTAAAAGAACACTCGTTCTGAATCATTGTGACGGACGCAGCAGCGAGCTCAATTCGCGACTGTCGTCTAACGATAACTTATTTGTTACGATGTAAACGGGGTGAACTCTTGTCATTGTGTGTATGATTGATAGAGAAAAATGGTATATATATATATATTATATAAAATATCCTAGAATTTGGTCAAAATTACTAATTTTTAATGATCTTAAAACCAGTCTCGTGACAATGAAATTTGAGACTGGCTTCCTATTGGCTAATTTAATACAGTAATGTTTCGTTAGTATATCAAATCGGGTGATGATCTTCGAATGAGGTTGGACGCATAATTAATTTACGATTACAGGCGAGTCCCTCGCTCGAGTCTGTTCGATCGAGAAATGGGAAAAATGGGGCATGCGTATGGAATGAGTCATTAGTTTATGAACATAAAAATTTTTGTATTTTTTCTTTGTAAAAAATGGAAAAATAGTGTACAACACCATGTAATTCAAAATCATTTGATCGAGACTCTGATTAGTTTCATTTACATCAGAAAAATCTTACAAATATATGAAAAATGTTCTGAAAAATATACAAAAATGCATTTTTCATTGGCGGATGACTCATTCAGCCGACTATTTGCTAGCTTCACGAAAATGGATGATGATGATCTAGTAAGAAAATTTAACAGGCCAACTAGTAGCAAAACATTACTGTACTTTCTGTACGCAGCTTGTTCATTTTTTGTTTTAAATCTGTATGCAGCATGATGTATACAAGGTGGTACGTAGTTCGTGATATAATTCAAAAGGAACATAACTTTACGTGTAAAAATAAAAAGAAACGTGGAATGGATTTGCTTCATTTAAAATTTCGTTTTCAAGATAATTTTAGAGACTAATACAGTATACTAGAACACTGAGTTTGACTATTTGGTACTAATTCTACTTACATTAATATTTCATTTATAGCTGGTGATACAGATACGATTCGAAGTATATTTTGAATTTTGTTGTGTTGAAAATTTTCTGTACGTTATAATAAATTTTATAGGAACATTTGGAAATGACAGTAGGTAATGTTTACATTACAAGTAGAAGTAGTGTGCAATGGTCAGACGCAACATTTGAAGTACATGAATCGTTGAATATTCAATTCGAAATCTCGAATTAAAAAGTTTGATACCACATTTTCGATTGATTTTCACACGAAAAATCCTCTTTTCGATTTTATCACGATCGCCACACTACCCCAAGTACGTGTTACGAATAAAAAAGCGTCGATGGGTAATTATAAAGGAAACTGTGTAAACCACACCACGATTGTTAAGTTTCACCGCAGACCGCCTAAGCCATTTAAAAAAAATATATATATAGATATACTATGTTAACGGTGACATAAATGCGTTTGCTGAACACGTAAAAAAGTCAAACATACACAATCATAAATCGTTACGTAGCACTCATTCGGTATCATAAAAAGATAAGAAGAGAAAATTGGACTTTCAATAACTAATTCTATGTCGTTCGTCAACTAGCGTATATACGGCCGTCATAAACGAACAAATTCAATTAAAAAGGGGGTTCCACTAAATCATAAGCAACGAATAGACCAACTATCGATTCAGAATCCATTCATTATAGAAGCTGATAACGATTCATCGAATGTTTCGGCAAAACCTTGTTTCAGCAGAATCGAGAAAAAACGAACGAAACAGAACGGAACGTAACGAGAACTCAAGAAACAAAACCGTTGAAAGAAAACGATAATTGCGTAGCTTGCGAGTTTATCAAGAGCTGCACTGATTAAACAAGGAATCGTGGATCATAAAAATCTCTACGTTCCAAACGTTATATTTCCTTTCATTTGTCAATAAATTTACTGTTCTTTTTTTTTTTTTTTTTGATTTTATGCAAATGATGACAGAAGATTATGTAAAAACGGCTCTTGCTGCGTTTGCCTATATCGAACAAAGTATCTATTCCACTCTGTATACAACTCAGAAACAGGTTTTCGTAACGGCAAACAGTAATGTAAGCACTAACGCATGCAGTCGCATAGTACAGCGCCATAAACTCGTGCCAACTATATCGACATGAAAACAAAAAAAGGTTGATCCAAGACTGCGATCTGTCGTTGAACAGATCGATCGGGTAAATTGTTGGACTGACGCAAAAAAAAGGAAAAGAAACAAAAATGAAAAAGGAGCATGCTGTAAGATACAAGGCTCCAGGTTTTTAGGGGGTTAGAGGTCGAAGTAAGTAGAAGTCGGGGCTGTTATGTGTGTAGCAAACCTTACCAAACGGGTCACGGGGTATAAAACGATGGTTTAAACGCGAGATACGGCTAAGAAGCATTGGTATAGATCAACATAATAGCCCTGGGAAAACTATTATATAGAAACTGTGAAATGTACCTCCGCAAACCGAAAGAAACGAAAAAGGAGCACGTGTTGCAATTTCGCGACACACGAGTCATTCATGCAACTATTTAGAACGGATCGTCTCCCTTTTAACAGTTAGTTTAGCCTCTGACTAATAGCGGCATTAGATGGCAACTCGCAAAAATTAGCTGTTATAGGTATAATACGTAAGTAAAGATGTATCAACATGCCAAGGCGCGTTAGACCGATAAGTAACACGGTTAAGTCGCTTAAATAGGCAGGGATAGGATTATTTTTTAATAGGGGACTGGCGACTAGACGAGTCCCACCCAGGCTCGTTTAGAAATTCGATTCGCGCGGTGAAAGAGACTGTTTTCGATTGGAAAAGAACGTTGTTTAAATTAGAAAGTTCGAGGATGAGGTTGAAGCGGCTTGAACTTGCTAAAAAATAATCCTTTCGTTAAAGACGACTAGTGGTGTCTTTGGTAATAATTGTTTCTCATGCAGTAAAGAAAGTAAGTCTTGTAAATTCATAGAATATAAGTATCGTAACAAAGCCACCACAATAAACAGAGGAGTACGTATTGTTAAGACTCACCCATAAAGTCTGCTGTCCCGCAAGCTGCTCCTGCTCCAAATAACACAGAAAGCACAATTACGACATGGTATCAAATATGAGTATTAGATTTGTCGTTTTCTTTTCTTTTTTTTTTTCTCTGTCTCTCTGTTCTGTTGTAATTAAAATATCGGAAATTAACTAAAAAGGATTACCAGAACCATTAAGTAACGATTTATTGAAATAATACATATACAATACGCTAAACAAAGAAATATAATAATATCCATTTGGCCTTGAGGAAATACGTAACAATAAGACTATGAAGCGTTAAGCTGAGCACATTTTACAAATGAATATGTATGTATATACATATATATGTATATATCCATAAGTACCTTTGGTACCATGGAAACATAAAATAAACTACAACTTGAAGGTAAAACAAGGAATCGCAGCTTCAACGATAATATTTCACATTTGCTGGAGTGTTCTCTGTTTTTAATTGTATATTATAGATCACGATCGATCGATGGAATGTTCTAGTCGACACGAATCTACGAAAATCGTGTTGTACCTTCGTCATGTTACAAGAAAGACTTTGTTCGGTATAACGTACAAGCCGAAGAAAATGGTCGGCGGACACTACGACGGTATGAACAATAAACTGTCACTATACAACCATGCGACAATCAGCGTGAACGATTTCACGGTAAACATATACACATATATAATCTCAGACGTTGCAGCTGATACTTCTCTATGTTACGTTAGACGAAATTAAGACGATCTCTCGTTTGCACGAATCACGAAAAAGTTTATTATACTGTTCCCAATAACGTGCGTTCGAATGACTAATATCGCGGGATACTTCGTGATCAAACCGTGACACGCGATGCGAAATTTTCGAATTTTCAGTTGATTCTCTCTCCGGATGCAATCAAGCTCGTTCGAGGCGACTTTTACGGTAACGCTCGGATATCTGTCGTTAGTTTGTGATCGGTTGTGAACAGATAACGAGGCAAGGTAGCGTTTTTTTTTTATTTTCTATTTCGGGAACCAAATAGCCCTTGGCTATTAATAACTATTAATGGAAATATAAACTTTCATTTATAGTTGAATTTTTTGTTTAACACTAATTTTGAATCGGATATATTTCAAATATATTCTCGAATATTATGCTGTATATGATTATACAGGATATTTGGATACTGATGTAAAAAATTTTTAATTTCGACTGCCACGTCACCCAAATATGGGCGACACGTAAAAAAATTTTGTTCGTGAACTCAGAAGTTATGACGAGTAAAAGACACAACTTGCAATATCCCATGTCTCATCTCTAGTATATGTTAGCAATATTTTAATGAAGGTATACCTATTGAAAAATATAAGAATTTTAACAACAATACATCGTTCCTGTTACTATTAGGTTGAAGGTTTCTTGCAGAAAGTTTGCAAAGTCCAAAACACCACAGTGGCAAACACAACCGAGCAGAAATTGGGACAGATATCGAGGGACTACGGTACCGCTCTCGAGAGTCTACTCTCCGGAAATCGAATGAACTTTATCACAGTTGAATTCCTGTTATAATCTCGGTCAGGCAGGGATACACGGTGTTCTATTCGAAACTATCGACGTGTTTCCTTCTGTTTTTGTTTGTTTTAACAATAGAGAAACGCAATTCGCGATAATGCGTCCTCTACGTAATAAGTACATAAAAACTATTATTAAGGATTGTGCTACGGTATATACTCGACATAATATCAAAATTTGACGGAACTGTTGCGTATTTGTTGCTGAAAACACACAAACTGTAATACAGAAATTCTCTCTCGTAAAGTGTTCTCGTTAGCGTTAATTACCATGCGATATTATATAATGAGTGATTCGATATATTCTTTCGAATATAATTGTTACACTCGTACAAGTGAATCTCGTGGCTCACACTATCTACTTTTTTTTTAATTTTACACAATCAGCTATTCTGCGGTACACGATAAAACGTCCCTATAATGGTCGATCGGTAACCAGCCTATAGACGTGCACTTTCCTAGCGGTCCGTTTCATTCGCAAAACTGAATAGTGAGTTTAGGTTTCGTTCCCTGATGTATTGAAACAGTCACGTGTGTTACGCACGATTCGATGCATCGTTAATCAAATATACACGGGCGGATATGCGTGGACGGATATGATAATAGTTAATATATCATGCGATCGAATGCACGGGAGATATGATTGCCAACAGGAAATGGTAATATTATCCCGTGTCCGTGTTTAAATACGATTTCAAACTGCTCCATCGTACAAAAAGGAACGATCGATATAATACAAAGTCTTTAACTTATTGATTTCATACGTCATCAAACAAAGGATAACCAAAACGAACAAGCTGTCTGCAGGGGTTTGGGAGTCGCATAAATACGCACAACAAAGATCGATCGAAATCAGCAGCAAAGAACAGAAAAAAGGGTCCCGTTAACTGAAGATTATCTATCTAATGACTTGCTATACCTATTTGGGATGGTATTAAGTGGCTTATTTGTTGCGTACCTGTCGTTACCGTGCCTGAATAACGCTAGAATTTCTTCGAATGTTTTATTCTTGGTCTCGGGAACCTTCTTGTACGTGAAGATCCAGAAGATGGCTAGGAATGCACTGAACGGTAGGAACGTGTAGTTTTCAAGGCTTGTCTGTAACATGAGGAACATTGAAAAGGATTAGATGAATCAGCTGAGACATCATGCTTAAAAAATGGAAGTTCTAGGATTGGAGTTATTGAAAGTGTATTGGATTGGCCAAAAAGTTTGCGGAGTTTTTAATTCGGCTGACATCGTTTATGAATACGGTTTCTACGTTTCATTTCGATACTTGCAGAATTTTAGTAGTTCCCTGCGTTTTCGACCAACTTTTGACCAACCCAATAGAAATGGTCGTTTGATATTTTTCTAAGTAAAGGAGTGGAAGGACAAAACGAGGGTTAAGGGCAGAAGTGGTCTTACCTTCATACTCGGGAAACCAATGCCAACCAAAAAATTAGCCATCCAATTGACGAGAACCGCGATTGACATGGCGGCGGGTCTGGGACCCTGCGAGAACAGTTCAGCAGTGATCATCCATGGTATCGAACCAGGCCCAACGGCAAAGAACACCACGAAACTGAGCGTGGACACAACCGACAGATAAGACATCCAGTCAATCATTTCCTGCACATAACCGAAAAACTCCTATCAGGCAGTAGAATCGTGTTCTTCTTTCCTGAGCAGCCGGAGGAGTCTCTCTCAGGACGAACAAAAGTCGTGTAACGGCCTACGAAACTGAATGGACAAAACTCATAATATAACCGCATGCAACTGTGCCAGCTCAACCCTGTGTCTTAAGGCTTGATAATGCAATTGCAACAATGCGAACGTGCTCTGTTATGTACAGTAACATCTCTTTCTTATCCAAGCGATGAAGCATGACTGGCTTATAGTTTTACATAAGGATCGACCGGGACGCACGCTACTTTTGGACCTCGATCAGAACCGAAAACGATCTATCAACGCGACGGAAATATAAAATCTTTTTCATTTTTTCTTATATAGGATGATAAAAAGAAAGGGAAGAGGGGCTAAGACTTTCGGGGCTTATAGTACTTATCGAGAGGAGTAAAGTATGTCTAATCAACGTAGGTCCTAAAATCAATCCTTTCGATGTAGAATTAACCTTTATATTTACGGACATTTAATATCGTAAGTTGGTGTCTTCGCAACATATTGAATACAAACGGAAAAAATTGGTTTAGAAATATATTCATTTAAGATACAATATGATATACGGAAGGAATATTTGAAATTGTATACTTTCGCACATAAGTATTAGGACACTTATCGAATATGCAGGAAATGTTAGAAGACATTACGAAATAGCTGAAAGTACAAAAGAAATATTGTTCAAGGAATTTGAAAGCTCGATGGGCTACTTTCAATTACTATGGAGTAATAAATGTGGCCTAAAGTATACATTTTTTTGGGTATCCGTATATTCATATATTCGTATATCCGTATATTTCGTGAAAATTTAATTTAATTTTTTACGAAACATCGTATTCTCTTCATATGGACCAGGTGTCCTACCACTTATGAGAGGTAGTGTACGTTGATCTATGATCTGCGGATCTGAGTTTTGTATTGAAATAGAAGGAAGACATATCCAACAGTTGTGAAACTTTTGTATTATTCTTTAAAAGATTTCATTTAGGACCTATGTTGATTAGACATTTTTTACTTCTCAGTGAATATAAGCCCTTAAAGTCTTAGACCCTTTTTTTATCACCCTGTAGAAAAAGGCGTTGTCGATGTGATGAATTTGAGTCGCGCGAAGAGAATGCAGTAATGCTTCGAAAGAATACACGATCCCTTCCAGTTTGAAAAACTTGTATCTCCCTATTTGTTCGGATACGGGAGACTCCACTGTATTTTAAAAGTCAGACAATATTGCATTTGGTCTCATTATAAGGCTGACAAGTAAACATATTTATCGTAGGTATTATTTAAAGAATAAATAATTGAAAAAGTTCCATGGCACAAAAGTCGCTCGCGACGCGAACCCAAATGGGCGATCGATTTTCGAAGCATCAACGCATCATAGCTTGTCCTTCTCTTCATCTTCTTCGTTCTCAAACAGCTCGGGTGCTTCGTGATGTGTATAGTTGCACGACATAGAAGCTACACACGAACGAGAAGTATGTTGAAAAGGGGAAACCGTGGTCTCTTCACGCGGAAAGAATTAATGGAACTGAAAGTGTACACACGAAGGGTCCGAAAGTTGAAGATCGAACTTTGCGGATACCGTCTACAGATGGAAATAACAAATAAATGTTCGCATTAAAACTAGTCCAAAAAGTGGGTAGAAATAAAAAGAAAATAGTTGCAAACAATAATCGGTCCAATAATTCTTCATTAAAAAATTGTCAGAAATATCCTGAATATTAAAAAAGATCGAAGATAATTGTATAATGAAATGAAACTAGGACGAGTGTTCTCGTTATTGTACTCGCAATTATTTTTTTCAGAATACTTTTAGGAATCGGTTTTACATAGATATTTTCATAACAATTTTTTTATTATTGGTATATCGACAAAGTTCGATCACTTCACTTCCGGAACATTCCGTGTGTTAGGCGAGTTAGTTCGATAAACTACAGGAAGAATGAAATGGTAATTGGCTCTTGTGGGTCCTTGGAACATTTCGTTATCTCACTTGTCGAAGATGCAGGGATTCAGGTAGAAAATTGAAATTTCGTTTTGTTTATATGTATATCGAGCCAATAATGTAACAAGACAACGGGTGACAGGTTTGAGCCAAATAGAATGTAGACTAATATAATAAAGGAAGTAAATGTCTCCTCCAGGCAGTCACGAAAGAGGCCGTTTGTGAACAGGGAGGGGAAGGGGGTGCAGGATTGGGATTGGGTTAGTAAGAAGCACAATTATTAAGCCTAAGCAACAAAAATGAAACCGCATGCACCAGGTATTTGACACATACATATACTAGACACTTTTAAACGATGTTTCTCTTTATTTACACGAGGGCAATATTTAATTTTAATACTACGTATTCACATAAGAGCTCGTATCACGCTTTGACTCGAGGGTTTTACTTGCAAGTGTTGTTTTAGAGTACTCTTTCTAGAGTAGACACAAACTGACTCTAGTGTGAAGACTACTCTTCATGAATAATTTTTATGTGGACTTAATCGTTTAGTTTTAAGCTTAACTTTTCGCTTTAATCTTTAAAATAAACAGTTACTCATAAGAAATATTATCATGTGGGTAGGTAGCATTAATCTTTAAAATAGAGAGCTACCATCAAGAAATATCATCATGTGGATACGTACTATAAGATTCCACTTGTAACGTGTCAATGTACCGAATATTCGTATAATTTTTCTTTTTCTCTCTCTGATGCAAATAAAGAATAACATGCAGGAATTGTGGAGACAGACCTTACAAGTTATATGAATGTTTGGGAATAAAGTAAAATGAGTCATCGAATGCAAGTTTTATATACGTAAAGTGGTGATAAATTCTCACTGTCGGTGCAGTGCTGCACTCCAGCTGTGAACAAAGTGTTAGATACACCTTTCGCCAAGGTGCATGAAGTGACAAAGCACAAAGAAATAGCTATATACAATCCACGTTCATTGTGGTGTACTTAAATGCTCCACAAGATCGTTTCAAATTCCCTTCGAATTTCGACATTCTACTAATTAATCATTCCTAACCGTGTGATATATTTTCATTACGCGTGTCTTATTACGAAAGCGAATATTATTCTTTTTATACCAATTTAATTTTCTTTATATACCAATTCACGAACAGATCGAGAACGATCGTTTGATTATTACTCGGCTCGAAAGACAACACCGTAACTTATGCTTATATACTCGGAATCATAGGGTTCTAAAAGTTGAACTTACCTTTATGAGAAAAGAAATTGTGATGAATATTGAAAAGATAAACATGCCACCAAGACCGTATAAGTGCAGTGTACGTCTTCCTGTTCTATCCATAAGCGGGATGGATACTAACGTCATACAAACCATAATGGCACCTATGCCAATGGTTGCAAACTTGGCACTCTCCTCTGTCAAACCAGAACTAGTGAACAAATTCGTCGAATAGTAAAATACCTGAAACACACGAATAATTTCGTGAACGATTACGCGCCCACGAATCAGCAGTGCCCCATATGGACTTGCCAACAATGGCAAATCACCAAGCCCCTGAATTCAACTTTCATGGACCTTAATGGACCCTGAATTTATGGCTGGGGGAATGGGGGCGGGGGTTACTTACAGCATTAATGCCTGAAAGCTGTTGGGAAAGTTGCATAACCACACCGATAACGAGAGGCGCTCTCAACGTCGGGCTACATATGAGCTCTGTCATCGATATTCTAGACTCGGCTTGTTGAGCCCGTTCTTCGGCTCTCATTTCCTCAATGTCTTCCTCCACTTGGTTACTGGCTCTCAACCTTCTCAAAGCTTTACGAGCTTCTTCCTCCCACTGTTTGGTAATGAGCAAATATCTGGAGGACGGAATTTCACAATGAAAAAAACCGTCCATGTGTGTTTAGCGACGAGTAAAGTAATGGTAAATTCAAGCCAACCGTTTTATGGAGGTCTGTCGTAAGGGGTGTATAGTATATCCCTCGGTATTTGCTCCGTAAATCGGGTCCATTTGTTAATTATCTTTGTTAAACTAGGCGAAATTTGACCGCTATAGAGCAGATAACGAGACAAGATACTGTTTCAAGGGGGTACCGTAAGTTGGGGTAATTTTGACTCAAAATCAGTCAGGGGTAATTTTGTCCCAAGGGCAGAAAATGATAATTTTCCATTATGCAGCTTTTTTGTAGTTATTTTTATGTGAAATACCTTTTCATGTAAAAATCAATGACGAATAACTCAAATCATAAGGTGTAAAATGTATGAGACAAAATATGATTAAACATTAAGGGGGTACACCACCCTGAAATCTAGAAATAGGTAAAGTTTGGGAATTTTTTTCGTAGGTAATTACTGAATAAAAACTTTCGTGTTTTCAGAGGATATAATTGTACCTTTCAGCTTTATTCTCCAGTGTTGGAAAACAAAAAAATATCTTCTGCCAGAATATCGATTCTTAACGACTGACAATCGATATTCCAGCAGAAGAGATTGCGAAATTACCGAACCATTCCAACATTCTGTAACATTTTTTACCTTTCCAAATTTGGCGAAGAAAGTTGAAAGCTGTATCCTCCGAAAACACGAAAGTTTTCATTGAGCAATTACTTACGAAATAAATTCCCAAACTTTACCTATTTTTATACGCTTCAGGATGGTACACCCCCTCAAGAATTTGTCACCAATCTTATTCTCCATTACTGTCATACGCTAAGACACAAGGTGACCTTGAGAAATCACCGAAAGTATAAGATAATATAAAAATCTCTTCATTTAGCTCAACCAACGCCTTAATTTTACTGCTCCTAGCTGCCAAATAATAGAGTTCCTCCAGTAGAATAGGCAAAGGACAAACTCGGAATAGCTCTCAACGGGATAAGATCAAATACCGAGGGACTACTGTGTACAGGAGCAACTGGAACAGGCTATACGAATGCTACGCATGGTTTTTCTACCTTGGTGATTCAGGGCAAACTGGAAGCAGCAATAACTGTAGAATCGCAGGGCAGATAGCTAGCCCTAAGAGCACTGGCCAACCGTCATTTGTCCCAAGGATTTGCTCGATGCCCAGCACCTGGGAGACCAGGAGACCCACCGTAACAGCGAGCTGGTTCACCGTGCCTAGGCCGCCTCTCAGGTTCAGTGGTGCTATCTCCGATATGTACATGGGAACCAACGAGGTGTTTAAGCCACAATTGACACCGATGATGAACCGTCCAAAGAACAACATTTCGTACGAGTGAGCAATCTTTGTACAACCCATCAGGCACGCCCCCACGATGCCCAGCACGTTGTTTAGCAGTAAGCCCCCCTTTCTGCGAGCGTACGAGAACAAAAGAAAGAAACACATGAACGATGTAAATCGATCATCGATCGAGTATCAATTGGTCATCTGACCCCAGGCACGCACGTGTTTACGTCGATTTTGATTTTTCTACAATATATGTATGTATCTATACATACGAATTTAACCGAATTGAAATTATCTGGCGTACACAACGGACAAGGCTTAACGGATTACCCGGGTTAAACGGCGGTGGCAACAGTGTCGTACAAACCTGCCAAATCTGTTGGCAATTATTCCACCGCTAAAACCACCTAGCATACCACCGATCGCGAATATGCTCACGGCCACGGAATACAATTTCTTCACGGAATCGTCAGAAATGTCCTCCCCGTACCTGTCCTTGTACACGTCTTTCATGAAATTTTCAATGTTCTGAAACGGAGAAATTAGAATGATCGTATCTTTTCTGTCAAATTGAAGGTACGATTAAATAATAATAAATTAATTAATTAAGGTCTGCCCCAAAAATAACCGAACTTTATTCGTTTTTTTTTTCAGTCCAAGTGAAATACTGTATCGCTGGTATTGACATTTTAACATTTAGAGTAAATGTACGTTTACGGTAAGAGTAGAATTCCTTTTGTGGTTGGAAAATTATTACTAGTGAAGTAATTCTGGAAACTGCATTCGTCAAGAAAATCGTAAGACAAGAGGTTAATTCGTATTGCATACAAGTTCCAATTAAATCGAAAAATTTTTTTCGATTTACTGGCTATTAATGGATGACAAGTTTTCGTAAACAATTTATTATAAGCACCATATATAACGAACTTGATCCCGCCTCTATGCGTACGTAGAGAAATCAATTTATTACGTGAACGTACCACTTCAGGCGCATTAATGACTCCAGTGTTGTATCCAAACTGCAGCATCCCTAAGACCGCTGCCAGTATTGCATACGACAGGAAAAGTGTTAGCCCCTGAAAATATCACGTATATTATTGACACCGAAAGATCGTTGTGCGCTCACGGGCAAATATCAGTTTAAACGAAAACATAATAAAACATTAGCGACATCGAAGAAAATAATTGATGGAATCGTAACGATGATAAAAATAAAAATAAAAATCATAACGATGAAGGGGTAAATAAAAGTACACGAAGGAATATCATATTGGTTTATTATAAAATATTTTTAACGAATTTATACTATAAAATCATACACTACGACGAGATGGATAAAAAAAATGATTTAAACCAAACAGAATGGCGTAACGAAACAAATACAATTGGAATGTAGTAATAATGATAATAATAGATGATCGTATAAATAAGCAGCTATCGTAAGCGATACCGTGTTTTTGCTCGATATCAAATAAAAATGGCACGCCAAAAAACAAGCGTTTCCGGTTCGGAATACAAGGGTCACCTGTTCCAAAAGTCTAAGTTTCCGTCGATGAGAGTGTTCTTCCAGTCGATCCACGTATTCTCGTAACTCTTCTATCTCTTCTTTCACCTGCTGTACTGTATCTAGTTCGTGCTGCGTGGGATTAGGAAATTATGGTATAAAAATAAGGAACGCTGGACACAAAAACGGTACGGTCTAATACAACAAAATCGACTCGGGCAGTTCTGTAATCGTTCGCAGAAACTATCGATCTGTATTCTGCGATCTTTCCACGCTAGCAGGTTGTTCCAACGGTTCTGAGAATAACTAGAACGTAAGAAAATGAAACTAAGAAAATTTGCAACATTTGGTACCACTTTGCATAAATCTTTCATGCCTGTTAAAAGCGATTTCAAGTATAAGTCTGAGGCTTAACATTGAAGACTGAATGGAAAACTTTAAATATAATGCTTAGAATTATTCGTAGCAGTGATGAGCAACACGCGACCCGCCAATTATTATTTAGTTTCGGCCTTGCGACCAGCGGAAGTTATTCGTGCGACCCATTTGAATCAGCTAAAGTGAAAAAAGAAATCAGTTAAAAGCTAAAGTAAATGAATGATGTTTAAATGAATAAATTAGGTTCTTTAAGGTTGCGGTCGTTTGCAGCGGCCCGTTCGGATTATTGGGTTTCCAATTTTGGCCAGCTGCAAAAAAAGGTTGCTCATCATTGGTTTATTAACGTGTAATATAAGAAATTTTAGGCCATATAAGGTAATGTAAACGTTGAAGCAACAAACGAATGCATCGGAAGATATAGGACCATGCAATGCATCAGCTGTGAAAAATTTAATCAAAGAATTCCACTGTCTGGCGTCTGACGTAATAATACAAACAACATTTAAAGGAAACGGGGTCGACAGCTGTGAAAGCACAAGTTTTTACAAAGGTCCGTTTAAAAGAAAGAATTTTATGTCGCCGGGTGACTCAAAATATGATTCAAGAGAAAGACGTCCGAGTTTATTACGCTACGGCCGCACGTGGTTCCAATATGGCGGCGGTTAGCCAGCCGTCACGCAGACTTCCATTGTTTTATTTTCGCTAAAATTAAGGGAGATTTTAAGAAGAAATTCCTTTTAGAAATCTGAAGATGCAGAAGCATTCCACTATTAAAAAGTAGATTCCTCTTTAACAAAAAATAAGTAGAATAATGAAGGGTAGTTCCGATCTTCTGTTATTCTGACAATATTAAAACTTTATTTCTATGTACTGCATATATGGAAATCACAGATACTAATATGGTTTATATTAAATGAGTTTTCGTTTAATAAACTTCGTCTTAACCCTGCAATGTAGAATAGAAATGCGCTAACTCCAATATATTAGATTCACAAAAGTAATTTTGAATTTTTACAATAGATGATGCCATTTTTGTGTTTAAAAGACAATACAAAGGCTATCTTAATAATTATGAGCAATCCTTTCTATTGAAAGACAAAACGAAAAAGCATCACCTACTGCAGCAATCTGACATCACTTTCTGGCCAATTCAATAAATTGTCGGAACAACTCAAGCCTTCGTTCCTTGGTAAATACCGATTACAATAAATCCTCGATGAGTGTTCGAATGTTCCTCGGCACTGAACATGAAATATTTCATAAACTAATGGCCATATGCGTCTAAAACAAATATCATCGACTTCAGAATTCCAATCTCTATGAGTTACTTCGGACACTTATCCAGGATCTACTGTACTCTTGATTTGTACGCGAAGAGAATCCAAGTAAGTATCGTTTTACAGAGACCACAATTTTTGTTCACCGATTCTCAAAACCTCTGGAACGGTACCTGTCCAGGCGTGTTCATAAGATCCCTATAAGGATCTCGGGGCAGAAGTCGAGATTGCGAAATTTTGCGAGCGAGGAAGCGACTCAAGTGAGAGAGAGAGAGAGAGAGAGAGAGATAGCGAGGGTTTTTTGGTCCATAAACCGGCAAATCTGTACCTTGATCGCGACCATGTCCCGTTTCACCTCGCTGACCTCGCTCTGGCAAGACTCTACGCTCTTCGTGAGTTCCTGCAGCTGGGTGCGGATCTCGCAGAGGGCGAAGGTGGTCTCCAGCTGGCGGTCACCCCGCTGAAGCTCGTCCAGCTTGGCACTCAAGTTCATACTCATAACGCTGACCTGTTTCTGCAGACTGCCCACACACACAACACCCCCACGTGAATCACGCTGGCTCGCCCCGTGGTAAAACGGTAATCGACATTGTCGAGCACATTGACAGACACTAGACACGATCAAGGCTCTAGCTAGGACACGCCTAATGGTTCCCTTAAACGGGAAGGTCCAACTAAAATTCCGCGAGCGCGAAAAAACTGCCGAGCCTTCTCCAAGTATAGCGTTCTACGCTTACCGCACGCACACACAGACTGTGTTCTCTCGTGCTTTTTTTTATTCTTCGCTGCTTTCTTTCGGTTCTTTTTTTTTTTTTTTTACTTATCGTTCTTTTAACAGGCACGCGTTTATATTCTCCGTTTGTCACGTGCTAGGATACAAAGCTCTAGGTCTTGCGGTGAAACAAAAAGAAAACAAAAAACAACTAAACCAGCTATAACTCAACAGGTGTAGCCGTGGTTACACCTATTCCACTGATGCTTTGGAAAAGTGTCAGCGAACCAGCGGTAGCTCGGCAGCTAAAGAAACGACCGGTATATATAGCGTATTAATAGGTAAGATATATATATACAGAAACACATATATATTATTATATCATAGCCCGTCTATGTATATATAGAAATATAATATTGAATTGAAAGAATATATATATAGCACAACGTACAAACGCCACTAAAAGCACGTCTAAAACTGTGTGTGAGTGAGTGTCAGGGTGAAACACTACGGTGATATACGTATACATATATATTTAAAATATACATATGTATGTATACGTTATACATAGTTGTCAGAGCTGTGCACATTAGATGGAAGTTTGTGAAGGTGATAGATGAAAAATTATAGTCCCCGTTTATAAGACGTGGTACATAGGCCCCCCGTTCAGTCTCGTACAATCGATCGATCGCGAAATTTTCCCGCTAAAAATGCAACACACCCTCTCCCTCCCCGTTTCAGTTCGACGGTTCCGTTCTCGAATTCGATCACGATCGTTTTCACCCCCGTTAAACGCGAGGAGCTTCGGCACACGCGAAGCGTGATCTACTTAGACACGATGCGGGAAATGTGCAAGTGAGTATATATACCATAAAAGAATGACAGAATGCTCAGTTATAAAGATCGTAAACGTTGCATGTAATGAATAACGTGATGGGCACGATCAGAAATCTCTCGATCGAGAGGAGATTTAGCAAACTTATCGATCGATGTGCACAGCCAAGCAAAAAGGGTGATTATTTTGTTTTTTTTTTTTTGTTAATCGAAGGATCAAACAAAGGGAAACAGAAAAGAACAGAGAAAAGACACAAGAGAAACAGAGAGACAGAGATAGACGAAAATAGGGGGGTGGTGGAAGAATCACGCAAGGCACGAGGGTGAGACGGTGTGAACAGTGAAAAATGAATGAACACATGAACCGTAATAGTAGGAAAGAGAGAAAGAGAAAATGGTATGTGATCCGAATGAAACATTGAAGAATCCAGGATGAAGGAGAATACAGTAAATCATCGATGAATGTTCGAAGGCTCTTCGACACTGGCAAGAAGAGGTTCCCAGATGAAATGCTGACTTTTTAATTAGGTCCAGCACAATGATAGTACTTGGATTTCTGAAGTCAATGATATTTGTTTCAGTCGCATATGGCCATTAGTTTATGAAATATTTAATATTCAGTACTAGGGAGCCTTCGAATACTCATCGATGATTTACCGTATAACTAGGAAAGAGGATAATTTCTTGTATAGACGGATCGAGGTTGAGGAATAGCACAGGGAAGATGACAAAAATAAGAATGTAATAAACTGAATAAGAGAGAAGTGAATAGATAGAGAAAGATAGAGAAAGAAAGAGCAGTGATGATGTTGCCATGTACCTGGGAGGTAGGGAGACCATGGCTGTGTTCCGAAACTACAGTAGCCTCTATGCCTCCCCACTCACTCCTCTTGATTCAGTATTTCGTCTTATTCTCACAGATCTATTTGTTCTTTGCTTTGTTCACGACATATGTACGTACGTTGGATTATCCACCAAATCCAATCAATTGACTCTGAACGATTGCACAGCTTGTTGTCAAGTGGGTCCACAACCAAAGGTGGAGGGGTAACGTGTGGCGGGGGGGTTTAAAGGCCGACGACGCCCGCCCCTGCCTTCTTATCTCACTCAGTCTGTAAAACTTTACCTAGTTTGGAAACACAGTCGTGGTTCAGTCAAGATCAATGTCATAACAAATGGTATAGTCGCTCGAATTAGTCACGTGACGTGCCGCCGTTTCTTCTAAAGGACGGTCCCGTCACGTGCGAAGACGGAAAATTTGTTTTTAATTTCGATTTTTTTTTCCTAATTTTTTTCTTTTCTTTCTGTTGTATTTTTTTTTTTTGTATTAAATTTGTTTTCGGGTACACGCGCATCGCTCATGCGACGCGCCGCCAGCTTACTCACCCCTGCCTAGTCGCCCGCGTCCACAAGCGAGCTTGCAATTTGAATGGGACCATCACTTTCTTTTTTCTTTGGTTTTTTTTTCTTTGATTTTATTTTTAGGTTTTGTTTTATTTTTTTTTTTTTCTTTTGATTCTCTAAATGCAGAACGAACGGTCGGCAAAATAATTGACAAAAATCAGCATGATCTCATGAAGTGAGTAAATAACAGAGAGCAGACGCACACAAATAAGTCACAACGGAACGAGCACACATTGAACAACGAGTGTATCGATCGGTTACGAGATATGCCAAGGAAATACTGCGTGGTGTATATCGCGATATCTCGGATATTGATCAAGTGGTACGATCTTGATTTTGATCCACGTCCGTTACGATGTTTCCTCTTTAGCTTTCTACACCAACTACTGACGGACCCCCTGGTCGCGTGAATCGGAAAATCGCGGTGACCACCCGTTTCGAGAGGTGCGTGTGTGAGTACGTCCACGATGTATGCACGTTAATAAGCGGTTCTCTTTTGTCCCCTGTCGATATTCTCTGTTTATCGTTCAACGTCGCTTGTTGCACGCTTATTTGTGTACCCGGCTTTCGAGAGAACGTGACATGACATCGAATGGAATGAGCAATCAGTGGTAAGCCTGCGAGCGCCGCAGCCAAAAAAATCGAGATTCGTGTGTGTTAAAAAAAACATACACACGCACACACAAGAAAGGAGAAACTCGTTAACGAGAACAACGTATTCGCCCGGGTGTCACGATACAATCGTATTAACTGTTTGTAGCCCGAGGGTGTGTAAGTTTATGTACAAAGAATAGGACTAGAACGAGTGTGATTCAATGTATAAATGATAAATGTCACGGCACAAAGCCTTGCATTGCATTCTTCGATAATACATAATAAAAAGTATATATAAGTTGTGTTCAAGTGTTTGTGTTATAGTTTGATTCGATCGAATGAACGAGGCACCGCCACTTAGGCCGGGAATTACCTGGATGCGGCTCGAGAACATCACTGTTAAAAGCAGGGACTTTTACCGAAACGTAAAATACCGGTATTATACCGGTATTTTCGGTTGCTTTTTTGCCCTACATAACCCTATACAAGCCCTGTGTAAGCCCTACCCTTATAGAAACCGAAAAAATACCGGTACTTATTACGGTGTTCGGTAATATATCGGTTTCGTTATAGTTTCGATGGCATAATACCGGTATCAAAATCATACCGGTTTAAGTCCCTGGTTAAAAGACCGCCACGGGACGTTAGAATGAGCAATGGTTCGTGGGAAATAGAGGTTCGGTTGGATAGTATAATTTTTGTCTACGAGAAAGAGAGAGAAAGGGAGTTTTATGATCGATAAGCAAGTGCCATCGATTCGGGTACTTCAGAGCGAATAATAGAGAGGCGAGAAGTGTTCTCTTAATTGGTATGCAAGCCTTAAGAGCTTATATACGCTGGTTTCTACTTGTACTGCCGCGGGCACTAAGCTAAATTACCTCGAACAGAATTCGAAAAGGTTACGGATATATAACTCCGGAGAACTTCGAACTCGAGTACGATACTACGTCGATTGGATCTCGGACGCGGGTACGCTAGAATAAAATCTACGGATTAATCGCTGTAGAACAAAACAGAGTACAGAGAATTTCTATACAAGAGCCTACGAGAAAAGACCACTACAGTGTATCAGTACAGGATCCTAAGAATATTGGCGCTAAACTATGAAAATCAAACTTTATACGTAGAGATGGTTATCGATAATAGCAAAGATCAAGGTTTACGATCGACGAACGTTAACTGTTTCATTTTTCGCGTCTTCCCGGGGAAATGTCGAATTGTGTTTGGTTTGTAAACAGAAGTCCATCACGGTACGAATTAAGTACAGTAGCGCCTCGCTACTTGATTATCGAGTGACTTGTTTACAGATATGTCATCAACCAGTGGAAAATAGCACCGTTCTATTCTTTATTATTACCTTCATTACAGCATCGTCGAGACCACAACACGATTTTCTTTGTAACAATAAGCTCATATACCACAGGAAAAAAACAAACATTGCACCATTCACCGATGCAACGTTCATTTTAAAGTTACGTCAAATTCTGTTACTGGTTGATATCTAACTTTTCTCAACAAGGCTCCGTAGTTTCACCGATGTGAAGTAATAGATCTCCACGTATTCAGATGGGAAATTCAAGTGTTCCCTCCAAAAAAAAAAACAGAAAAAGAAAAAAGTGAAAAAAATGTAGGTCTGTTTAAATCGATATTTTTGACTTCAATTTAACAAGACACAACAAAAATGTTAGAGGATGTCCTCCAACATTTTTCTCACACCCTGTATATACATTGTACATCATTCTCATAACTTTGAAACAACGATTCAAGGGTTAATCAGCGAAGCACTACTGTCAGACTTAAAAGAAATCCCGCAAGACAAACCGAAAAATCGGAAACCGATTGCGAATGGTATCGAGCGGTACATGATCCAACGATCCAGATAATTCTCGAAGACGTCGGTGGCGACGCCCGTCGTTACGCTAAAAAACAAAAAACATCCCCGGCAAAACTCTGTCCGTACGCAGAGTGTGTCTTTTGGAACGCAAACTCTCCCCTCCCTCCCCCCCCCCTTTGTGATGGTGTCGCTCGAGGAGTCCCCGGACTGGTAGCGGCGGATGGCTCGTGTCATAATCAAGTTAACCGCGCGTGTGAACGAATTTCATCCAACACATGGAGTTGTTTCGAATGAAAAATTAATACGATTAAAAAAGGGGGGGGGCGGCGAGAGGGGTGGGTTAGGGCCCGGTTGGTTCCCCGGGTGGACGTGGGTGGGGGAAATCGTTGGTCAGGTACGTGGAAACGTACCTTACAAGCATCTCCCGTAGAGTAGCTTCATCGTCCTCCTGTACCTCTTCCTGCGTCTCATTACTGAACGCGCCGCGGCTTGGGTGATGATGCTGGTGATGCCTGCCGGTTGGCCGACCGGTCGTGTACTGTCCGTGCAGCCCGTGATGATGATGGTGATAGTGACCTGTGTTCGTCGAGGCCGAGTGAAGGTAACGGGCGACGGTGCTTGTTGCACGCCCCCTGGTCAGCTTGTGGCCGGTACCAGGCGGTAGTACGGCGCCTGTACCGGACTCCACGTAGCTGCGGCGTGAGGCATACTGCTCCTCCTCCACCCTGATGATGTCCTGACGTCCGCTCGATGGCCGATCGGCCGATCTGCTGCGCGATCTCGCGCTAGTCCCGACACTTTTGTGACTCTTGCTGACACGCCCGTTAACGGTGCCGCCGGCGATCCCGTGTTTGTCCGATCGTTTACTTTGCCTCCACCAGCTACTGACCCCGACCTGCGCACCAAAATCGAGCCTCTCCCTCGATCTCTCTTCTTCCTCCTCTTCGTCCTCGTCTTCCTCCTCGTCTTCTTCCTCCTCCTCCTCCTCCTCCTCTCCCTCCTCCTCGCCGACGACGGCGGCACCAGCCGGCCCCGGTACCGTATCCTGGGACCCCGAAAGGCCCGCGATCTCTTCGTAGAGACACTCCGAATCCGGGTCCGTCGACACTGCCGCGCTCTGCCACAACTGGTTTATTGGCTTGAAGCCGCGTGTATCGGCCATCGTTCGAGCTACGCCAGGACACAACACAGAGAATTTTATACGATCGACATCGTCCCCTTCAACGTCTTCCTCGGCTGGGATGAACTAAAGACCATCCGACGCTGCTTTTCCGAGGAATACTAAGAGTAACGTGTAATAAGTTTGTAGGGTTTTCTTTCTATCTCGTTCCTTTCGTCTTTTATTCTGTACAGCGATACACAAGTTTGTCTAGACTAACACGATAGCGTTTTTGATGGTGGTGCACTTTACGCAGCATGCTTGAAAAGTTCCCTTGTTCGTTCGTCGAATGAAGAAGTCGAGATATACAGTTGTCATTTTCGGGTAGACGGTTTTTGGGCCGAGGGACAAGTGGGAATTCCAAATATAACGAAATAAGTTCTACCGTGTGCGTGAATATTCGTTTCTAAAAGGAAGGTATATTTGACATCGGTTTTCGTGTAATTTCCGTCACTTTGAAATAGATCTGTGAAGTTAAGACAGATCTGCAAGAAACGAACACTCCAGTCACAAATATACAAATGATAAAGAATAATTCTAGACCACGTCTGACAATCGTAAATTGTATTATGTGTCTTAATGTGTCAAATTAAAAGTTCCCACGTGTTTCTATTCCATTTCGGCGCATAAATAATTTTCCGATACTCGTAATGCAATCACGCGTTTCCCATCCCATCCAGTCTTTCTGTTATTTTGGGAACGGCAGTACAGTTCAAATATTTTCCTTTCCAATGAAGTTTAATTACCGCAGGTATTTCCCAAGTTTCGTTCAAATTTAACTGCAACGTGCTAGTCTAGTCTACTCCCGCTGTCATGTACAAATACGTAAACTATTCCGATAATTACCAGTTCATCAACTGTAGACTACAAACAGAGAGTTAAATGTTAACAACAAATTCCTTGGAGCGAAGTTAGGTCAGAAACTTTTCAGACATACCGCGTCTGCGTTCGTGTGCAAATGAATACCCTCGTCCACGTTGTATTATGTCGTTATGCAATCGATGGGTCGAGGAAAAAAATTTGTTACGTGGAACGGCATTTCAACTGTGAAAACGTGTGCGTAAACGGTGATGTCGATTAACATGATTGAAAATTATATAACGACAAGAATAAAATGTATTAATATATTGTATAAGCGGTAGTGTTTTTCAACACAGGGTCTCCCGAAATTAAACAACTGAATCCTGCTGTAGAAAATCGAACAAAAAATGCCACATAAACAGTGCTCCTACAATTCGTAATTAAAAAATCATAACAGAAATATTTATCATTAAAACAAAATTGGTAAAGTTCATATTTCGACTTTCCATTAGTATTTTTAAGTAAAAAAAAAAAATAAAATGGTGCAAATAAAGAGTAATTTAAAGTTATTGTTATTGTTTTCGTATGTGTCTATCACAGTTATATTTAATCTTTGCATAGCTTTTGTTGTTTTTACCTTGTGGAATTCACTTACACAGCTCAATCAGTTATTTTTGGGACACCCTGTACGTATTGTCGATGGAACAAATATAGTGACTTTTTTGAGACCCACTCAAGTGGCCTATTAAGTGATACCTTAGTTAGGTACGAGCCAGCAATGTGATTTCGGTTGCTAAAAAGTTGTCTCTAATCAACGGAGTCGTAATTAGTGAATCTGGGTCAGGTTCAGCTTTGTTCTTTTTTTTGGCACCAAATTTCACTTTCTACAGCTTATCCATATACATATAACGCTGTGTAATTTTGTGTTACAATATTTCCATTCTGAATTCTATCTTGTAATTTGCATCCCACAATCAATGTTTACACGTTCGTCTTATCAATTCTTCCCAAAATAAAATACTCTACTATTAAATAATAACAGAAAAAGTATCAAATTATACATTCTAATTATTGCTTCTTATATTACTTAAGCTAAAGTATTAACGCCCAAAGAGGATCAATTTACCACACTTTCCGAACTGCGGAGATCCGACACCTAATACGGATCAGTCCTGACGCGTTGTGCCAATTTTTTAATGAAATTTCACACAGAAAATCCTTGGATAATCGAAGTAAATAATATATAGCTGAGCAGTAAGTAATTCCAAATACAAAAATAAGTCGAATATTATATAATAACAGTTTTCTTTAAAACTTCTTTGTCGATATAATCGACCTTATCAGTACGTCTGGCACGTGTGCACCTCTGTATCACTAACATTCAAGTGTCTGTCTATTGCTGATTATTTTTACTGCCTTTAGTAGGGATCTACATCTACAAATATTAACAGTGGTATTATATGCTATGTACTGACAAGTACAAGATAGATCGATGAAAGACAAACAATACCGTGTCATTGTCTGTGTTTATTGCAACTAGATGTAATAGCAATAGGCAAACACTTATATTCAATATCAACTTCCTCTACAACGAAGCTTCATCAGGAAAAAGTTATTCTGAAACTTCAACTGATTTTTATATAGGTAAGAATCCTGTCAGTTTGTATAGTTCTATGAAGCGATCTTGAGACCTCCAGAGCTTATACATAAACAGAAAGAATCAAAATGGCGGAGGTGACGGTTCTCGTCAAACTGAACTGTCTGAATTCTGAATCTTCAACTTAGATTAATACCAACTAATACCAAGTAAATTCAACTTAGTTAAATGACCTTGAATAATTATAGTCACTAAATTCCTAATGAAAGGGACTATCACTGTAGGTGTTTAAAAAATGATTATTTCGTTTAAAAAAGTGAAGATGACCTTAACATTGCTAAAAAAAAAATATAAAAACCAAAAGTTTTTTGGTATGGTGACGTACTTGACGTATCTTTAGAAACAACAAAGATATTTTAGGTGCAAAAATTAGGTGACTAACCCTGTATAATATTAGTATCTGAAACATATTTAATATTCAATTTCGAAGAAATTTTTATCCACTGGCAGCTACATGGTTCAACATACCGAGTCCCTATATTTGTTCCACGATGTATATTCGTGGATGAACGTTTATCTTGTTCCCCGGGCGATTCGGCTTGACGTGCAAGTCAGACGGGACAAGGATTCACGAACAGTTCATTACGAATTAATCAGAACGATTCTCGTGTCAATTCGCTGAAAGTCTGACAGCAGCCGGAAAACGGAACCGCGTTGATTAATTCACGCAAAGTTGCTCGGCCGTTGCGCGCAACAAGGCGACGCCACGACTATGCCAGTGCAACTTTCATGCACGCTGACAGCCGCCAACAAAATGGCGGTTCCGTGTGATGGTACCGTGAACACCAGCCCCCTGATTCACGCAGTGCCATACAAATCGTGCTCCAAAATCGAAAAACTGAATTAATTTCGAAGTTTTCTATTTTGTCCACATGGAATTGAATGTAAACGTTGTAAAGTAGAATAAAAATACAAACAACGGATTAAGGTTGGTAATCAAATTAAAAGTCGAAGAAAAACATGTAAGCTAGTGCAGAATTAATTTTCTTTCATTTTTATTATGAAAGTGATGCGAAAGGTATCCTGTTTTAATATTAATAATTAGAAATGCTCGCATTTTTCAACTTTTCTCCATCAGAATCGAAACGAAAGGGCCGAGCATGATGATTCCGCGTAGGTTCTGTATACGTGAAATTGGAAACGACCAGTTGTGGTTGCTGCAAGATTGTGCTGCAGTAATTAAGCAGGTTGCCTGCTATACGTCGACTCGTCGTACTAACGGCAATTAAAGTAGCCCGTTAACGAGCATTATTAGTATCGTTCGTTGTCGTTAATCCTAAGTGAATGCGATCTCACATTGGAATTCCTCGCTCGAGGTAACAAGCTTCTCGTGATAATTCCCTGCACATTTGTGAAAATCAAACGAGCATCGGATTGCTGCGCGTGAAACGTCGCTTTCTTACGATCGATCTTTGAAGGTAGATAGCTTGCTTCGAGGCTCGTACGTGGAATACAATTTCTTTATCAACTTTCACATTTATTCCAATCGTTTTGTAGCCATTTCACTGTTTTCTTCGTGGAAGATGAACATTTTTTTTTCTTTTTGTTTAAGGAATCTATTTAGTACTAAATGAGATTGCTGCTTAAAAAGTAAAAATAAACATATTGAGAGTGATTAATACTTTTGGTGGTGAAAAATACTGTTTATATCATTCTCAGGCCAGAATTGACTGCTGGTTTGGTTTTTTTTTAAAGAGACTGCTCTGACTCTTAATTTTTTAGATGCCTGAAAATTACCGATCGCGAAAGTGTTAATTGAAATACGATAAATACGATGAAATTTCGTAAACCATTATAGGTTTTTATAGGCACTCCTCGGTAGGAAGGTCAATTTTTTATTCATTAATCGTTTTTCTGTTAACTTCCGATAAACTTGTCGCGAGACACTTCTTTCTGTCTAATGTAATACGAAGATTTACACATTTCAGATCAATCAACCTAATAGGTTCAGATCGTGACCCCTTTTTCTAATCGATCAAAGCAAATCGAAGACCGAGAATCATTCTGCATAATTCTTCTACCTTCGGAAAGCATATGATTAAAAAAATTCGATCAATAGCAAGCAACAATTTTGTTCGCATTCGCAAAAATAGTACACCATCAAAAAGCGAGGAAAATAATCGCGATATCGTCAATTAAATATATTGTAGTTATCGTCGTCTTTGTTATAATTGGAAAATATGTAGAATTTCTTCAATTATGTTATGAGTTTTATTTCGACATGTACCCCTTACAGTTTCTGACCTACCAGTAACCGAACACGCTGTATAATCCTCCCATTACTTTCTTAAATATACAAAAAAAAGTATCCATCAAATATTATGAATCGTACTTCTAATTCAGTAATCTGTCAGCCCAACAAGAAACGACAAAATGAAAAATCAGTCCAGTTAATAATACTCTTACTCGCATAAACCGATTTAAAAAACAAGCCGAACAAGATCAAGTCAGAATACCTCGACCTCGCGAATGCCAACAGATTTGTTCCTCGTTCAAAACTGGTTCTGTGTTACATGTAGTTCGAAGCATGAAATGTAACGTGCGA